TCTTACAGATTAAGGTTTTCTTTTCCCCTACTTTGATTTAATTTGGTGTTTAATTATAGGCTCTAGGTGACATTTCGACATGTATATTATGACATGGTACAGTTTTCTCGGAGGACTCGTGTCCTTTTCTGTCCGTATCGAGACGTACTAGACTCAGGCATGGTTTCTTCACCTTCTTGCTCCATTTAACTATCCGCTGCCTGATCCCCTGAGTCATTTAGTTCTGAAGAGTTACTACTAACAATGCGCTCTACCCTGCCACTGTCAGACTCTGAATTTGAGTCAGAGGCTGACTGAATGTTGTTCTGACTGTCCTGCACAGTAGAAGTCAAAATCTTACTGCAAATATGTGCCTTCACCACCCTCACCCTCAATGTTGTGGTGATTAATATAAAGTTCAAGTTCACCAACTCTAAGGGATGACATCTGGTTTCTGTGATAGAGATCTTCTCAGTCAATGTCTTTGTATTCCTGTTGCTTTCTTTCTGTACGCTTCCTGTTATTATCTGTTAGCCGATTATCTTTTCTCATTTCAATGTCACTTAGATGCTCAATATAATTTGCAACAAGCTTTTCTGAAACAATGTATTTTTCAGAGAACTCTTTGACTGTCTTTTTATCCCTTGCTTTGAGCTTACCCTCTCGAAACAACTGTTTTATTTGAGCTCGAGGCTGATAATCATCAGGTTTGCGGCCACTCGTAGGTGTTTTCGTACTTGGTAGGTAGTGAGAGTCGCGAAGTTTGCTATAATCGGGATAGGGTCGTGGAGTTGGCTGGAGAAGGACTTACAAAGTCTCAAATTTTATACTTCCATATTCAAACTTCAGCTATAAAATATAAATATTCCACACTGACTGTTCGCATTTTCTTGTTTCAGCTAACACACATTCAATATCGAAATATATTTATATTCAAACATTTTGCGTTCACAAGCAAAATGTTCTGAGGTTTCTACGGCATGGAACATACCATGTAGTAGTGAGGGGAGGGTCGCACTTTTATCAGTCACTAAAGGTGGGGAGTCAGGAGTTTTTTTTTTATATATATATATATTAAAACGCAAGGGAGGGCCAACACTTTTTTAAAAAAAAAAATTAAAAAATACCAAAATTCCCCAGCCCCCCTCCCCCAAGAAAAAACGTACCTTCCCTAAAAAGACACGGTTGATATCTCGGGCAGACAACAAATAAAATAAGCTACATACAATGTCAGAAGAATGAAAAGGTGCTGAATTTCTGATAAGGAAATCGCTTTATTACAGCGGTGTATTGCTAAATCCAATTGCAAATAAAGTCCATGAAAGCAGAACGAGTGAAAATATAGAAATGTTCCTGTCTCCAGCACAAGCGATTAAATGAAAATAAAGCAAATAACCTGTTTTAATGAAGTGTTGAACAAATGTCTCCGTAAACTTCACTCGTCTGCAAATAATTTTTAATAAATTTTAATTTCAACATTTGTTAAATTCACACCATGCAGTCGGCAAGAAAAAGCATTTTCATTATTGCTGGAATTAAATAACGTACGTTTTCTCGAAAATACGTAGAGCAAGCTCAGCAGGCTTAACTCGTCTTACAGGCGTAACTGGATGGACAAGTTTAACACGATGACAGCTACGGCAATAAATTATTCACTGGTTACTGCCTTGAGGAGATCGAAAATTTTGCCATGTTTGTTTTCGCGAAATTATCACATGTTCTAGTACTCTTTCTCACGGAACTTTCTTTGTCGGATTTCTGAAAGCGACTTAGGAAAATAACGGCTTGGAGCATTAATTCCTTTTGTCTCCATATATCATGCAGTTTATTTCCAAAATGTAAAGTTTAGTTACTGAGTTTTTCTCTATCACTAGGAGAAAAACAGTAGGATATTATTTTCCTTTGCATGTTTTTACCTATTTTTTCTCCATGAACGGAAAGGTTGAAAACGTTAAGTGGGATTTTAACTTATTCATAATTCCGAACAAAGTTTCATTGTGGTTAAATCTTAACTTTGTCCAACGATTATTAAACTGGAATCGGCAGACATTACATTTGAGTTTTTCCTTTTTTTAGCCATAATAATATGAATACGCCTTTCTTCTCTCTTCGTTAATCGATATCCAGCGGTTGCTTAATGTTTTGCTATGGATGTCGCCAAAAGCTTCCTGCTGGTTCTAATACACCCCGTTGGCTCAATTTTATTCGAAGTGATATACAATTGTATATAGAACTTAGCATGAATCCAAAACAGCTTCCAGGAAAGGAGCTTCTTAATTCTATCAAGGGACTGTTTACATTTTATGAAAATTAATTGAGCTTCCCCCCTTCTCAGTTCAAAGTAACACATACAGCGAAAGAAAATCCCCCTTAAAGTTATCGTTTTTTGATATCACTCTATCCATTTTAAGCGGTGTTCAGATAACTCTACTAAATTTAAGTTCACAGATTCCAAAATTAACATCAGAGAGAAATAAGGTACAAACGTTGACCGCATGAAGTCCTCAAACGCTAAAAAAAATATGTGGATAATTCATCTTTTTTAAAGTTTCATTAACTAAATTTCGCCTCAAGCGACAGCTAAATTTTCCGGCATTGAAATAATCATGTCTCCTGCAGATGCTTTATAAGATGAGGCTGTTACGAGCGACACGCGAGCCATTCAATTTCACAACATTATGTTTGCAAACGACCATGTTCAATCATTAATGGTGAGGTAGATGTCACTCTAAGCTGCTGAAGTTTTAAAACGTTTTCAGTAAATGTTATTATAAGTTGATGCTTGAATTTCTTCCAAGTCCTGAGTTACGGATAACAAGTGACTAAATTTTCTGAAGTTGCGAAAAGCAAATAAAGACCACTGTGTAAGAATCATCCCATAGCTTAATATTTACAATTACGTGGGGAATATTTCAAATATCATATATATGATCATTCGCATATACCAATTTTTTCCCCAAAATTAATGTAAGTTTTATTCTATAGAATAAAAATTATCAAAATTCATTTTTTCAGTCAAAATTCTGCTAAATCGCAATTTTCCTTTTCCAGTTTTCGAGAAAGCCAGACTTTGTCGAATTCTGTGATAAATTTAATTCCTGTTGCTTATGAAAAGTGTTTTATTGAAGCTTATGAAAACGTCGGAAAGAGTTGTTGAAATGCTGACAAGTTATCTGATAGGTAAAAAGTGATATCCTTATTGTTAAGATTTTTTTTTTGTCTTCATCATTCGCTGGAAATTCTCCAGAATAATAACAAAAACCGACAGTTTCTTCTGGCGTTCCCATATTTACAAAACAAAAGGAACAAAAACATGCCGTATCTACAAAAATAATTATACGATTTCAAATTGTAATCTGAGGGAATGAAACTTTCGGAAACAAAATCGCTGAGTTAGAATATTCATGGCTGCTCAGCCTCCTTCATGAGTTCTCATTTCTGAAGATAACACGAAATATTTTTTATTGGAGAGGGGAACCTGTTTACTCGACAAGCTTGCCAGCTTTGGGAAAATTATGTCACGGTAGTTTCTGCGCCAAGTTCTGTGGCTCGTTTTTTTCGAAACGAAGCCTGAAAACCTTTATTACTCTGGTTTCAACATGATTATCGAAAGGATTGGCTAACGTTCAAATTTTAAAAGCCCCCTGTCAAACATAATATTCATCGTTTCAACTTAGTCTTTCAAATTTGCTTATCGGGTGACAAGCCATTTCCTTAGGCTTTTGCAAACAACAGAAAACAAATAAAAAGTTTCTTTCAAAATTTATCAAATTTCCTTGCAAGCTCCTTTGCCAATAACTTCCCCTATAGATCGACCTAAATTCTGTGTATCTATGCGATTAGCTCTAAATAATAATAATTTATAATGAGACCCAACTCTTTCTTTTAATAATTTAGATTGATCAGTTCTCTGCGAAAAGTAGATTTAAATAAATTCACACCTGTGGGTAGGGAAAACACTAGAAGGAAAATTTATTCACCTCAACAAATTACAACTCTAGTTTTGCACGGTTAAAAAAAACCTCGATCACTCTTTTAATTATTTCTAATATCTGCTCAAACTGTTCGGTCCTTTTTCGTCGCAATATACTCAAGAGATAGGGATTGATTTTTCCAAGAGTAAATTGAAGCTGCTTTCGAAACCTGTTAATATCCGATGCACCGGTTACGATACTGCTAAGAAAAGTTATGATCCTTGGTGATATAGAACCTGATTAAATTTCGAAGTTATGGGTTCCGTGACACTTTGTCAAAGAGCTCATTATCTGCTTGGATGAAATCACTAATTTTGCTTTTATCCTGAAAGCGAGCTCCACCGATTTTGTTTATTTAGCTAAATGCGAATGAATATTGCATAATGTCCGGTGTTCATTTGAGAGAGTTGGTAGGGTTGTAACACCTGTAACTTGCCTTAAGACATAAATTAGTGAGTGGTGGGCGTCATTCGCTGTCAATTTAAACAGTGTCTCTGCGTCTTATTCCGAGCAGGTATTAAACTAAAGATAAAAAGATAAGTTTACTGAGCTAAATGGTTTTCATTTTGGATTCCCACTGTTATCTGAAGACTGTTCCTGCCACGTATTGACAACTTGGGTTGAATTCAAATGATCCGACGCCTCAAATAGACGCCCCGTTGTAGGAAAGTCCAAAGATTAAGTCAAGATGTGGGAGGCATTAACTTTGAAAAGTACTCCTTGAAAAACAAACAAACACTAGTGAGGTGTCTGTTACCACTGGGGCACCAAAGGCTCTTGGGATACTTAATTATGAGCTTATATAAACAAAAACTATTTTTGATGAAAATCTATTTTCAAAACCAAAATCACCCGATGCAGCTCTCTTGACCACAAACACTGAAGGAAGTTTTACATCAGGGAAATCACGCTTGTAACGTCTTGGAACAAAAAAAAGGTCAGATTCTCGAAGCAAAAATATCGGATTTCCTCTATCAATCATCATTTTACACAGTGATGACTTTTCCGTCGTGAAGGTACAGCGATAGCGGTTCCGTTTTGTTTCAAAATCGAAAATTTCTGAAGGGCGAACATTGCGAACATGGTCGGCTTTCCGCGATGAGGATGTGCTCTTGATCAGAAGCTGAAACTGTTCACAAGATGGATAATTCGACTCCAACAAATGCTTCTCTTTCGAACGAAGATGACACCGGGCTTAAAATACCCCTTGGTTACCACATCGTGGCCTATTTGGCGATTGTACTGGGATTCTCTGCCAATCCCTTTATATGTTTCTCCTTCGCTTATTTCAGACGAGTACGATCCGTGAATAACTATTTTGTTGTCAACCTGGCTGTTATTGACATATTATTTATAATTCTCCTCTGTATCCAGATAGCAGCGCCGGCCCTGCAAAAAAGAATGTCAACTGATAATTTTTATTACTTGAAGGAGACTTTACTCATTACAGAACAATTCTGCTACTCAGGATGCATGGCAGCGGTGACCATCATAAGCTATGATCGGTACTATTCCGTCACCAAGCCTCTCCATTACTACACCAATATTACCCACACTAAAGCAATAATTTTTATTGCTTGTAATTGGAGTTATGCGACGGTGATGGCATTACTGCAATTGCTTTTTTATCTTCCCAATGAGAATTATTTCAAATACGGTTACCTCTCGTTAATGGGACTTACCAATGCAGTGATTCCTTTGTATGTCATACTATATTGCTATATGCACATCTTTATTATCGCTTCGCGACACCTACGACACAACCCGCACCGTGGACAAGATCAGAATGGCGAAGCTAGTGTGTTCACAAAGAACCTGAAAATAGCATTTCATATCCTTGTTCTCGTTGCTCCTGTCCTTCTTTTCTGGAGCACTTTCTCCGCTGTAACGATTATAGAGGTTCACTGCCCAGATTGCATACCCAAACATAGTTTTCTGGATACAATAATGAGTATGACTCCAAATGTGATAGCCTCAGTCGATCCTATTATATACATTTTCCTCACCAAAGATTTCCGTGAGATCATTTGTGGCTGGTTCAAACTCCACAGGAGTCATCCTTTCTCCGTCAGCGAGACTTTTCACCTTTCAACGACAAAATCAACAAACCCTCAGGTTTTGCTGGCGGCAAAGAGACTCGTCAGCGAAAGCGGGGATTCTTTGGAGGGTTCTTATCGTCTATATTAAATATTTTTGCTTTCGTTGTGGTTTTGGCAAGGTCTGATAACAAGCATAGGAAGACTTCCACCAGCGTGACGTGAAACAAAAAGTTTAGTCAAATAAGGAAGCACGAATTTGAATATTATAACGAAATATCAAGGAACTGTGACCTCGGGAAACACAAAAGAACAACAAGGGATTATTTAAAAATTTACGAAGCAAACAAAAGAATTCGACGGATTTTACCTCTACATCTGCATTACAAAAAAACAAAAAATAGAAACTACAGCGAAGCAGATAAGGAAAATCTTCTGATAATTCCAGTTTGCTGAATCTTTGTATTCATTGGATGATGTCATATCTGATAAAAATATTTATATATAGGAAAGAAATTTAAAACGACCATAAAAAAACGGTCTGGTTTTGAAGATACTGCGAGCAATTGCTGCTAATAACTTTGTCTATGTCAGATTTGAATTAGCGAACTGACGACAGTCAAAACGTTCTTTTTAAACCGCCTAGAAGTTTAAGCTTAATGATCGTTTCCAAAGGAAAATTTATTAGACTGCTTGCAATTTCCAAAGCACTTACAGGGGAAAATCAATTTAAACAGACTACCGGCAGCTCTGATGAACTTTTTCTGTCTTGAATGACGATAAGTCCAAATGTTTTCGGATCTGTTTGACATACAAGCTATTATTACTTATGAAAAATTGATCCAAGTGTTACGTGTAAAATGTCTTAGACAAACACATATCAAGGTCATATTTCAATGTATAAAATGCAAATATCTACTAGAAAGACACTGTTATTTTTAACTCTTTCATTTTCAATGGCTCCATAGAAGTAAAATTGTTTTGGTATTGTCTGTACATATATTGATATCCGAGGAGCACAATGATGTTAAAATCTTAATTACCAAAAACTGAAATAGCGGCCTTCATTGGACTGACACTGATGGCAGGTGTACCTCGTGTGACACTTCTCTTTTTCATGAATTTGCAATTAATTTTTACTTGTCATTTTCACACGGAAAAAGAAATATTTGGGAAAAGCTTAACCCATAGACTAAGCTGATTTTCGTATTTTCAACCGAAAATATACAAGTGCTCTCGTTTGGGTAAATCATTGTAAATGGAACAAAAATTGGGAAACTTTTAAGGGGGAAAAGCTAAGTTCCGGGAGGCCATAAAAGAGGATTTGAAGCAAATCGCATAAATCTATGACAAATAATAATTTAATGATTTATATCGTCGGTTTGTTCAACGAAGTCGTGCGGCGCAACATTCCTTCTATAAACGACCCACTGAAGAAGATAAATGATAGGTAATATCAATCAGTTGCATGCAGGTTTTGGGCGCATCAATAATTTACTTGGTTTATTTCAAACAGCGAGAAAACAGTTTAAAGCTAACTTGGATCAATACCGTAAACTCGCCTCATTGCAACGTGGACGATTTTCAATCATAATTTAAGGTGAAACATTCATAACTCATAGCATAAATAATTAAATTGACTTAAAAGGTTTTAATATCAGATCAATTTTTAAAGCTGCATAATGTGTAGGATGATGAAACAGTATATTGATAGATGTTTACTAAGGTAAGTCCTTTCTATTACGGATAATGTAATGTCTGAAAGAAATAAAGCCTAAATGACAGACTAAAGAAAACGAAAAGACAAACTGTCTCCATTCATTTGTACGCTAGCCAATTCCTTCGTAAAGAAACCAGTTTATTATCCAAATACTCATTAATAAAGTGAAACTTCAAACTGGCGAAACGATAAGTCATGTTTAAAACGCAAAGTTCTGAAATGAAAGCAATTCACTACAACAATGGTTGTTTCTGTTGTTGTCGTATCGAAATTGAAAAATCCTGCCTATGGTCATTGCAAATTTTATTGGAGCATCGCCGGCGTTTCATTAATATCGAAAGAGGAATCATGCAAAGTGGAAAACATCCAATTGCTTTAGCTTGGATAAGGTGAGAAATTTCGATTCAGGTGCTAAATATTCTAAGGGTGCGTTCGATAAATTGACAACAAAATTCGTGCAAGTTATTTCAAATCATCTTATAATAATTAACAATTATCCTTTTGGGTAAAGTAAGAGTCTTAGTAGCTTGTTTTTCAGGCCCTCGAAGATTTATTTATTATCGAACGGAAAATGTTATCTGTCAAAATTTTATCTAAATGAGTTGTCAAGTGTATGCATAGATACGAGACCGACTTCAACCACTCCCCGACGTAAATTAAGTCAAAATTATTCACAGCTGTACCTTTTAAGTTTTCACGACGTTTTCATAATTATACAATCAATCCGCTAGATAGCTTTTAGTGTGTGTTTAAACGTTAATGAGACTTAAATATATGGCTTGCTTACTTCCTTGTGGTACCAAGAAATTTAGAAACTAAACCTCTCTTTTAAGCTGAACGATACCGAAATATTCTAAATTCTCTTGAAAGTCAAATAGAGCATAATTGAATGAGGTTCTTGAGAATGATTACAATCTTGTCATGAGAATACTTGGAAGAAAAAAGAAACAAATGCTGAAGTAATGCACGGAGTCTGATATCACTTGAACTACTTGAAAGATCTCCTTGAAATGCGCTCTAGACTAGACGGACCTGTCATGAACTTTTTCTCATTGACGTAAGGCGATATGCTCTGCTAAAGGAGTCACGTAATTTACATTTACGTAGCGCATTTTTCTCGGAAATATTCAACCTCTGTTTTATGGCAAAAATCTCACATGGAAGAGATCTCAGGCAATGAAGGAGAAAGAGAAAAACGTTTTGGAGCTTGACATAGTCGCAGATTTTTTTCCTATAAGATTATTCTTTCTTTTGTACTCTGAGGCTGTAGTCCTGATGAATTTTGAAAGCAGTGTTAATAATTACTCTTATGGTCAAGACCGCAGACAGACTGCATCTTTCAATTTGGTCAGTTTTCTGTAAAGTTTTTGGCTAGCGGTTTTTTCCTTAGCTGGACACGCTCACAATTCTTACTGATCTTGTCTTGTTTCTCGTGCGGAATGATTTCGTTGACTGATTTTACCTCCATATCATGAAAAGGAGATCAACTTTGATAGCAATGAGTTTTATTAATTGATCTAAAAAATGACCGTATATGGCCATTTAGGAGTAATGAAGGCAGCGGCTTCAAAATACCCGCGGGATATTTTAAAATTAAACTATTATTTTTCTCTAAAATGTTTATGTTTTCGCTTTTCTAGGTCACTAAAAGCCATAAAAAGGGCGACGAGCAAGGTTCCGACTATCGCTTTCTGTAGTAAATATTATCAAAACGATTTTCATCATTAAGTTAAGGCTCCACAAAGGGAGGCGCTCACCAGCGATAATCTTGGCTTTGCCTTTGATTTTCTTCAATTTGCTTCCGTGAAATCTCTCAAAATTTTCACAATTTGTAAAATTTGTCTTGCCGATCATTTAAAGGCTGAAAAAAATAGGGGTTACATTGGCAGTTCCCTCGCTATTTGCAATTTTGTGTTTTCTTCCTCAATCTCAAATTTTGTCTTGTGAATTTCTTTTTTTATCAGCATACACTAGGAAGGGCATAAATATGTTTAACGGTCCAGTAAATCTTTGGAAATTCCGCCGAAGGAAACGCGATAAATCTTGCAAGATTCCTATTTTCTTTGTCGCAAAATATTACGAAACGGAATAGAACTTCGCCAAGTTCTATATCTACGTATGCGTAAACTTTCGAATCTGTCGCGGTCTGTCGCCTTTTGGCAATCTTTCCCAAGGTGTTTTCTTTTCGGTTGACCTCTTTTTCAGGCGTAAAAGGCCTATAAATTACGGGTGCATTTGTTGGAAACCCTAGATTCCATTAAATAAAAACTATATTGTGTGATACTGTTTTTAACACACCTTTTCAGATAACAACCGTGCGATCGTATCGAGCCGCCACGTTTGTTTGCAAGTTGACACTTATCAAGATCGCGCTATGTTCGCACCCAGATCTCACGCGGTCAAAAAAAAGTTGAGAACGCTTGGATCGCAAAATTTAATGCCCTTTTTTCATATCTGCTCATGGAATTCTTTGCACCAATAGAAATAGGGAGGCAGCTCACCGGATAGAGTTTTATCCAGTGGATAGCGTTATCCAACCTTCTAACAACTGGGACCAGTATTGCCGTCGAAGAACCAATTAAGACCGATAGTCACGACAAAAATGTCGGACCAGGTCGGATAGGGAGGTTCACCAATTTGGCTTCCTCTGCTTTCTCCTTTTTGTAAATTCCATTTTTACGGACTCACTTTTTTCAGGCCATATTTTCACTGCTGCTTAAGTAATGTTCATTACTGCGAAGATCGCTTTCATACTCATTTCTTAAACTGTAGTTCACATGTATGATTTTCACACATTCACAGTGATTAATATAATGGTTTTGTCAGATCACATCTGGTTTAGTGCAGTGATAAAGTTGTCCGTTTGGATTCAGTCATCAATATCAGTGTCTTATCAAGCTTCATCTCTAAATTCACAACTGATTCGTGCACATCTTCCCGAATAACTTTGAATTAGTCAAAACAATATCAGCATACTTTACTTAGAGAGGATAGCACTTAGCAGTTTCAAAAAAGTGATAATCCTGTGGCCCTCTAAAAATAACTAAAGTGAAATACATCTAAATTCACCTTGGCTTCGTTAGTTTAACATATGATAAGCGCGGATATTTTGACGGCTGCTTGGCATTTTTCCGGACCCCGAAGGGGCGAGGAATATACGAGAAATTAGCAGAATGTCTGCTTGTATTATATATGTTAACCCACTGAATAAAAGATTTATTATTCCACTGTCATTCCGCTTTTTAGTATTTTGATTTCAGTTTGCGAAATACATCCAACAGCCTTATTTGTGCTTCGTATCGATCGCATCAGGAGTATGCGAAAGATGAAAACAACACTAACGAAACCCTTTAAGTCTTCCTTGAGACTTATTAAAAAAAACTCTGTTGCGCGTAAGAGTTAATTGATCATTAGTTTGTCTTCAACAGTCGCACATACGTCAAATATGAGCAATCCACTTGGTAGCTTCCTCTCTATCGACCAATCAAAGAGAGCTGCAAACGGCGCCAGCAATCAGCTTGTTTCATAATGTATAAACCAAATTAATCACCTTTTCAGACTTCGTTGACTTAAAAGGCTGACATAGTCAACTTTGCACTAAAATTGAAAAGTTTACCAGAAGAAAAGGATCGATCTTTAATAGTTTACTGGTACGTTTAGTTCTTTTTTCGGGTACAATATTGTCTCTAAAGTCTGTTCTGTTTCATTCTTTTTCCCGTTAGCACATCCTTTTGAAAACTCAAGACCAAAAGTAACGTTCAAATCGATTTCCTGTTTTTGCGGCTTAATTTCACCTCAGTCAAAGCTTCAAGCGAAGGCTTGAAGATGACTTAAACACCCATCAGGTGATTCGTTTTCGGAGTTTTTTTCCCCAGATTTTCATCGCACTTTTTTGGGGGTTCAAATCGTGTTACTGCATTTGAAAATTTAAAAATGTGTCGATTCCGCTGAGAACTATGTTATGAACTGAATTACATAATAAGGACAATCCACGAGGCGAGATTATTCTCACTTTAGATACCGATTTTATCTGAATTTCCTGCTGTTATAACTGAATTCATAGTTTAAACTTTCAATTTACATGGCTGAGATTTGCAGCCAAAGAGAGAGTTTCCTTGGGGTCAACACAGAAATATCTGTTCACTTATTGGTGATAAGTTTGGTATGAAAACGTTATTATAGTCATGGTTACTGCTTTTTGCAAAAATTTACTCTGAACCTTGTCCATTCGTCTTCCGCCATTTTGATTTGTTTTCCGTCAAGCATCCTTCTTCCTTTCTGAATTATTTCTATTGAATTCAAACACTTTTTCAGGTTTCGTTAATTAGACTTATCATTAGTGCATCGTGTTATCTAGGTTGATATAGCTCCTTAGTTTTAGACGCTTTTATTCTTCATTCTCAAGATTACAAAAGTGAAAAGCGTGCATCTTTATCTTAATAAAAAGATCTTATTCTTTGGTCACGTAATATTTAATTTTCGCCAGCAGAAGAGCCTCAGGCAAGGGAGTCATAATGTAAATAGCATGGGGGAGGGGGCAGGGGGCAGCGGGGAGGGGAATGGGGAGGGGGAGGGGGAGGGGGGGAGGGATCCTTCATTGCAACCCATTGACTGCAGGCCCGGTTGTTTTATTTTTGTCATAAAGAAGAGGTCACATGCACTGCGGGACCTGCGGGAAATGCCCCTTTACTCCCTCCTGTAGTGATTGTAAATATACAAATTCTCGCGATGAAAACACAAAAAAAAATTTATTTTCACTTTCTCTTATCTCAGAATCTTAAGAAACAAGGCTCAAGAAGATTCTACCATGGCTACTCCCACGAAAACTATCATTGCCACAACCGACCAATCACCACCTCCCACCGTCAACAGAGAAGTTGTCATAGTAACGTCTATCCTTATTTTCATCCTTGGGTTTGTTGGGAATGCCTTCATCTGCTTTGGATTCTGTCGTTTTCGTCAGCTGCGCTCCCTTACCAACTATTTCGTGCTGAACCTCTCCATTGCAGATCTTCTGTTAGTGACGGCTCTCGCAGGATGGATTATACACGATCTCCGTGGGAATCCACCCGATGAAAAGATTCTGATCGCACTTCTCATCAATATCGACGTGTTGTGTTTCTCGACATCGATGCTCAACATGATGACAATCAGCTTGGACAGGTACTGCGCCGTTGTCTATCCTCTCCAATACCCACATATTATTACAAAGTCACGTGCTTGCGTCGCTACTTTCCTTATTTGGGCGTACTCTTTAGCCATGGCGGGTATTGGTGTGAGTCGATTTTTCACGGACGCAATGGAAAATTCCGACAAGATATTCTTGTCTGTGTTAAGTACCGTCAATTTTGTGATCCCGGCTGTGGTGATGGTTCTCACGCATTTAAGCATCTTTAGAATTGCTTGGAATGCAAAGCAACGATCGATGGCGGATCTTGGCGGTATTGAAGGGGTGCATAACATGAAGGAATTGCTCCTAAGCCTGAAACTCTCGTTTAATACACTCGTCATCTTGTTTCCCATGGTAACAGCGTGGGGCATTTTTTACGGAATAACGGTTTCAGAGACACTCTGGCCGACCCAGATTCAACTTTCTGCAGGGTTTTCCATCGCCGTTGGTCTTCTGCCGCATATAGCAGCTGCCATCGATCCCATTGTCTACATACTCGTCACACGTGACTTGCGCAGGAAATTGTGTCATTTTTAGAAACGACTGAAGGAAAAACGCGAAACCCTCAAAACATTTTACCATGAGAAAATATGTTTTCCCAATTACTAATTTGAGCATATTGAATTTGTGAATATGCGTGACAATACTGAGCTGTGCGTGAATTTCAGTAAGTGCAAGCTTGCTTGTAGTTTGATGGGTTGTGCTGTATTTTGACCAGACAGCAAATGAGTCAAAATACAAACAATGAGTAGAAATACTACGCGCCAAAACGTCCAATAAGTTATTAATTATTAAAATTCTTTAGTTTATGCGCATTTCTTAGAAGGCGGGAAAAGCGAAGCAGATGGAGAAGCGTAGCGCGAGCGGGTTTTTTGACATAATATAAAATGATCAACTGTCCAAATATCGCGTTATTTGTGTTCTACTTAGAGCAGTTGGATGATATGGACGAAGTACTTTATTTCCATGTTACTAGGGAGATAATGGAGATGAGATGGAGTTAAGTTTTGGATTGGGTGTTGAACTTTTTTGTTACTTTGTTAGTTTTGCACCCTTGTACATCACTGATAGCGGAGCTCGCAGCGCTCGTAGCGAAGATTCATACTTACAATAGTGGCAATGCAACATCTTAGATCCCCTTCTATAATAGGAGAAATCTTAAATTTTGCTATGTAATCCTAAGATTCCCAGAAAGATAGAGGATATATTGTAATTAATATCAATGAGATGTGTATCAGCACGCTAGCTGCTATGTAGTCTTGCTGTTTTTGATGTCACGTTGTTTTTGTGCAGAATGCTGTCGATAGCGCTAGCCTTTATGAGGTTATATTCATAGCCCAGGATGTTATTCTCATGGAAATCCGAGTTAAACTTCAATTTCAAAGCAGCAAAGTACAAATACATCAGTTCAGTATTAAAGTTATCTGCACAATGACAGAAACACGATCTAGTATTGTAGTTATTTTTTTATACATCATCTTTTTAGCTGACCAGGTTCTCGATCCCAGGTTGTCAAATCAATAATTTCGGGAAACACAGCGTTTAGTGATAGTTTGGTAGTTAGCCAACGCAGCTCACTTTTTATCATCATTTCAAAGGAAAATTACTTGAAAGTGATTCTTAGACACATAATTTCTCCCTCTTCACACGGTCTCGTAGGTCCAACTTCACACAGGTCTCTTAAATTCTCATCTGGCCTTCAGAACACCGTTATGTGGATGATACCTAAGCCCCTCGCCAAACTCTTTTCTAGTTTGGTTTGGTTCTGTTTTCACATTTTGTTAATTCCTTCTCTTCAAGTGTAATGCCAGTCTTGACACCCACTACGTTCCATTTACCTTTTTTCTTTACTCACCTAGGGAATCTATACAGTAGTAGTTATAGTACCGAAAGATAAGGCTTCTAATCTTCAACAGGAAAACGCGTGTAACGGCGCCATTCCAGTCGTGTAGCTTGACGTGTTTTGCCGTGACGAGCGAAAAGTACTGGGAATAAATAGTAGGCGTCGTAATCCTGACATTACAGTACTTATAACCTAGGGGGCAAAATTACAAAATGCTGATTGGCTGAGACAGCTAGGGCATTTGTCATTAACTATGGTAATTGCCCCTGGCAAAATGACTTGAAATTGGAAATAACAAAAAAGGGTTAACTTTGCCTCAGAGTATCATAATTTCATTGATGCAAGGCGAATGCTTTATACAGCAGGGCTGGTTAATTGCTTTCCTGTTGTTGTTTTAAAATAAAATTTCAGTCAGCTGATTGGTGTGTTTTACAGTCCATTGATGCTACCTGAACACTGAAATGGTTTCCGCATGAAATTGCGTAACAGCGAGCGCTGTGACCTTCTCTGTCCTTTATATTATAACTGAGAAATAGAGTGTTTCCTCATCAAATTAAGGGCGAATATCACTCGTGCTTTTGCGTGATATTAATCTTTAATTCCCTCGACGATTGCCATAATTCACGTAAAGAGTATTTTTGAAATATTTCGGAAAGGCTCTACAAGACTCCTTGCGTGTTTATACACTCCCTTAACTATGAGGTCGGGAGAGTTCGTGAAAATTTACAAACCCTTAACTCCATCTCTGACCAAACTCACCGAAGTGTTAAGATTACTCAACTTTATAAGGGTACATGTAGTTACAAATTTTAGGCAGTAATGGCCCCAGGCGAACCTGATCAGAGAGGTTACCCTTGCTGTGAGATAGGAAAAATTGGAAATAAAAGTTAGAGGCGCAAGCCAAAACAAGACTTACTGATCAAAACATGCTTGTTGATGCCTTTTTTTTTAATTTCAAATTGTAAATAGTGTCCTACAGCATACTTCGGAACGTTTCATTAAAGTTCCATCCTCCTCTATGAACAGATCTAAGGTACTTTACTGATATCTAATACAAGGTCTCTCTAGGGTTTGGGTTGATTGCAATTGCTTTTCAAGCGACACAATCATAGGCTAGAAATTTGTTTTAACTTAACAGTGCTCCAAGCTCAAAGTGAATATTCTTAAGTCGCCATTTCGCGATCGAAAATCAAAGAATGGTCTCCCGTAAAAAATCTTCATAGAAAATGGCTGGCGATCGTTTTGAAAGACTTTGACCTCACTTGCACACTTTCCACTTTCACGAACGAGGAGAAAATGAACACTATGAAGCATACAAATTTTTTTTATCTCACTTTAACTTTAGGCCATATAATTCAATAATGAAAAAGTTATGTACAGCCTGCCCCTTGACCGCCAATCACGGGTCGTAAGTTAGGCGACTCTCGCTGAAATTTTAGTGGCCAATTTTTTTTTGCCACTCGCCAGGACGACCAGAGCAGCTAGGAGCGCTGCTTAGGTTGATCCCTGAGGGATTAACAAATGTCACCTTCTTTTGTTTGGACCATGAACGTCTTAATTTTCTTAATTGGAAATCAATCACCCTTGTGTTAGAGTTATTTGTTGCTTGCTTAAACAAGACGCTCTTCTGATTAAACTTGATGTTTTTTGCTTGGAACGCGACAAAAGCTTCAACGATGGCTAAGAAACTCGCTAAGCTATGGATGGATATCTCTCATTTTTCTAGTGGCCAAAGTTCAGCCTGTTAGTCTCTTTTTCATTTATAGTCCTGCAATGAACTCATTCTGTGTTCAGAACCAGTTGTCGCTCTAAAGGGACGTATCACAGTGTTCCTCAAACATCGTTAAAACGTGACCTTGCCTGTTGAGAGGAGAGAGAACTATTTATTGTTCACCCTTAAACAGGAAACTCCTCGCCAGTTTCATAAATTATCCACCTAGCAAACACCGTGAATACTCAAACTCATTCATCAATAAGTTTCTTCACGAAACAACTGATTCTTCTGAGTAACTGACAAGGAATGAACGACTACAACATGGGAGAGTTGCGAACCAAATCTAGGAGGTACTCACACTGAAGTCTAATTCCCTTAGAAGAGGATAGAAACAATCAAACAAGAAAACTTACGAACAAACCCACAAAGGAAAAAGACAACCTTAGAACACGAGTTACAGAACTAGTCAGGGGGAAAAAAACATACCAGCTTCTTAAGTTTCTGTTGGTAAGTATCTGAAGAAGATGCGCCATAACTGCTTCCCTTCAATCCGAGTCCGGCATTTTGGCTTCTCATTTTGGCCTAAAAGGAAAAGAAAAGAGTGAAAGAAAGGAGTACATCATCGAAAAATCGGCTTTAATAAGAAGCCATTTACCCTCTTGACCTTGAGGAAAGTACTAAAGTAAAGTGATACAAGTAACAGTTTACTTTATACTGTCACAAATTAAGTATCCTAAGTAACGCTAACGGCAAAACAGAAACGCAGGAAAATGACAAATCAACTCAACTATACATACCTCGATAGGATCAACAATGCCTTGTCCTTCCCTTCCCAGACCACTCCCCTCAGTCCAGCCCATGGCCTTATTTCCAACACAAACAATAAATTAGTACTGCTTAGTGACAGTTGCCAAAAAGTAAATGCTTTATACAGGGCCATAAAGTTATTTTTTGAAATATTGCCAGATAATAATTTTTTTTTTTGAGGGCCAAAAAGTGAAAAGACAACGATGTAAAATCACTCCGTGAAAAGGGAGAAACTCTGCAAACATTCACAAAGAAATTACTTTTAAACTTCCGCTTAAAAACTCAAACATCATAATATGTAATCACCCACTCTCCCCCCCCCCCCCTTTATGTAATCAAAATTTAACTTATTTTCCCTCATTACCTTTAACATCTGATTGCCGATATTTTCCCCACCAATTCGCTCAGCTGGAGGCTCAAACGATCTGTGAAAAGAGAAAAGAAATCGTAAATGTAAATATAAAGCCATGAACAACAAGAAGCCAAGCTCGTATCTCCTTACATGCTTCCTCCCCCTCCTCCTCCTCCTCTTCGCCTGGAAGGCAGTCGAACTTTCTGTGCTTCCGGTTGCCCATATTTCTCCCTTCTCTCTCTCGCTCTGTCACGGTACTTACTCTGTTAGGGAGAAAAAAATTAGACACAACTTGAATAATAAGCTAGTGTGCTTTAAACAGCTTGAATTCAAGTAAGCCACTTTTCAACACACTTGATGGGTGTTATAAATTGATCCTTTCCTTCAGTTTAGTTTCCGTTTCTCTTGACAATTCATTGATTTACGAATTCCTCCATCACAAGTTGCTTCGGTTTGCTCTTCACTTCTTTTTGATAGAAAGCTCTCCAACGAATTTACCGTTATATAAATTTGAATGTGACAACAAAGTCACCTCTGAATAATAAATGGTTTCCTTGGTGGAGTACGAGTCAGCCAGTCAGTGAGTCATTCAATCGGTCAGTCAGTGAGTTAGTCAGTCTGCCACCCAATCAGTTAGTCAGTCAGCCAGTCAGCGAGTCAGTCAGTCTACCACCCAATCAGTTAGTCAGTCAGCCAGTCAGCGAGTCAGTCAGTCTACCACCCAATCAGTTAGTCAGTCAGCCAGTCAACCAGTCAGTCAGTCGGTCAGCCAGTCAGCCACTTCAGCAGTTAGTCAGCCATCCAATCAGTTAGTCATTCATTCACTCAGTCAGTCAGTCAGCCAATCATTTGGTCAGTCTGACAGTCAACCAGTCAGCTAGCCAGCCAGCCGATCAGTTATTCCATCAGTCAGTCAATGCTGAAAAGACTTACTGTGAGTAGGGTTAACAAAAGAACTTATGGAATTAAGACACAGACCTCCCGCTCTTGCTTCTCATACGCTTCAAGTTGTTCATCACTCATTCCCATCTTCTTGTGAATCTCTAAGTTTTGCTGTGGAGAGAATCCAAGTTTGTTCAAATTCGCACACAAACCGCAGTGAGAAAGCTCCAACATTCAACTTCAAACTTACAACGGGGAAATTTGTGCACATGAAATGGCTGCGCGGTAAACGTAGGATTTAATGCCCCATAACAAGTGTAACCACTCGCTGAAATTTTATCTGACATCGTGAAGCCCTTCATTAATAGTTTGGATAACGCGAGGCGGCTGCACTTTTGGTTGTGGTAGAATTAGGAATATAGAGACCTGTTCTCTCTTCTTCCTCATCCAAATTCACCCACAGGAAAGCTTGCTGTGGTTGACTACGTAACTTTGAATATTGTGGTAATCTGATCATCATTACTCTTCAATCACACAGGATTATTCTCATGACAAGAATTCACTTTCATGTCACTATTTTCAATTCCTTCGACAAACCTTTTCACGCTAAAGGTTTGCCATCAAGAGGTACATCCACAATTCAGTTGTATTCACTATTAACACTATACACTATTAACCCTTTAAATTCAAGAAGTGATTGGAGTGTAACTTCTCTCGGTAAAATCCATACATTATCCAGCCAACAGGGCATAAGAATACTCAAACTTATCAGGTAGAAGTTGTTATCTAGATCTAACACCAGTTTGAGGGGAGAGTTTACAATCAGACTAAATGGGTTCAAGGGGAAAAATGCTCCATGAAGAGGTTACCTTGTGCAAGTCGGAAAATTTTTGATGTCTTTCCAGAGCTTCTTTGTTCGGGAACTGTCGTTTGCAAAGCAAACACGCCATGATACTCAAGTCAGTAAATTTATCATTGATATCGTCTTCTGGATCGGAGTCATCCTCGCCATATTCCGCAACTATGGCACTTTTTGATGGCTCTGAGAAATACAAAAACACAAACAGGAGAGTGTAAAAACATTACATTAATAACAACAAACTGACAAACATTATTTTGATACTCGACTTGGATGGGTGAGCTCTTCATGTTACAGAAATCAGCATCAAATGCGTCAGACCTACGAAAACCTGGTTTCTGCAAGTTCACTTGAACTAGAAACATTGCTAACATAACAATACAAAACTGTGTTTAGCATTCGAGTGTACCAACGAACGCTTTTTATTCAACTAATTTTTGAGACTTGTGTTTTTCATGTTACCATTTTCCCACCAACAGCGTGGCTCCATCTTCCCGCACTTGAAAAAACCACAACCCACTTTTCCTCTCTATTCGCCCTAACGAAGGGCTAACGTTTGAACCGTCAGCTTTAGAAACTATTGAAGGTGGCCAAACAACATTATCAACTCATTTGATACAACCAAATTATCTTGGTTTACCATTCCATACAGAGGCACAAACTTGTTTTAATACCTGTTGTCTTAGTAGCTTGAACCATGCTCAAGGCCGCCAGAGGACTGGACGCTGCCACATTATCATTCACTTCTGCTGGCATTCCAGCCGCAATGCTCTTAGCTATGTTCAGTGATGTTGAAATCTTAGGGGGAGGTCCAAATGGCTGGAATAAGTAAACAAAACCATGTTATGAACACGTTGTGAGTCAGAGCCACCTTAAAGAGCACAATGAGCTGTTCCATTAAACTATACTGCTAAAAAATTTTAACCCAAACTTTATCTCTTTAATCTCTTCAATCTCTTTAACACTTAAACTCCCATGAGTGACCAAGACTTAATTTCTCCTTACAACATCAAGCAGACAAGTGACGAGAATAAAGAAAAATATCAGTTAGGGGATTAGTAGTTGATCCAATACCAAATTCTCAGAAGCAACATCAGAAGAGTTGTATAGCAGATGGTAAGAGGAATTACTAATGAGATCTTGGGAGTGATTATCATCTAATTTCTCCTTACAATATCACCCCTGAATCACACATTAAGGTCATGAGAGTAAAGGAAATGATCACCAACTAACAAAGCTCTTGATTGTCAAACAAATTCTCCTAGTTGCTAATTTAGGAAATGTATAGTAAGCAGAATGGATAACGCGCACTCTGATGTTAAAGCATAAAAGTCACATCCAACTTATGTAGCTTAATCAACAGTACTGCATGTTAAATATCAAAGTTATTAAAAACCTCTGATTTCACAAAATTTGAGCCAAGCAATTGCAATAAGAAAGCTTGAAAATGCCCTTAACTCTGCCTCATTTTGTCACCAAGAGTCTGAATAATCCTGCCTATTGCACCTGCCACTATTTACTGTTTCCTAGAGTTTTTTCTCTTTAGGGGTTATCTTACCATTTTAAACACATCTGTGTCAGGTTTTGCTTCCTCTGGTTTTGACACAGGAATAAAAGATCCTTTCTTGGAATCATCAACTTGGGTCTTTGCTGCATTCACAGACTTTGCCCATCTCTCCATGTCCTTTGCAATCTTAGACACAAAGAATTTGAAGGGAAAATAAATTACTAGGGTACTACAAGAAAATCAGAGACTTTTGTGATCAACTTACAAGAAGAGAAAGTATATTCTTGAGTAAACAATACCCTCGGTGGAATCATATTACTAAAACAATAAACTGGACGAGGTCAACATCCTTAATAGTCTTAACCCTTTAATCACTGGGAGTGACTATCTTCTAAATTCTCCCTAGATTATTGCCACTGAATCAGACTTAGGTCATGAGATGAAAGAGAATGATCACCATATTCTTTTTGTCATTATGGAAGGAAAGCTATAGAAAATATCAGTGTAAGAGGCTAACTTTTTAACTCCCAACTATGGCTAACTAACCTTCTCCTAACTATGGCTTTATATAATCATTCAGACAAGTGATGAGAATAAAGAAAAATATCAATTATGAGATTACCAATGGACCCGTTACCAAATTCTCCAAACTTACATGATGAGAATCATTTGGCAGACAGTAAGGAGAATTACTAATGAGATCTTGGGAATTAAAGGGTTAAGTTATAAATAAGTTGACACAGACCTTTTTAGCTTGCAATGACTTTGCTTTTTTCTGCTTTTCTGCAATTGGAAAAACAGCCAAAATTATTCATTTTGTTACATATATTCTTTAAAATTCTATCATGAAGAAGGAGTTGAAAAGTCATAAGTGGAACTTTCTTTACATCATAAAAACCATATGACCTCAACCCTGGCTAAAATCACCCCAAAATAAGGCTTTTATTTACATCTGTACTTTTATCCAGCAAACAGAGAATGCATACTATTTATGTGGCAGGTTTTATGATGTCCTGCACTTATCAATCCAAAAGCAGACAAATTCAGCTTTTCAATACCATCTTGGACAAACTGGATCTCTTACTAGTATCTATCAACCTCGACTCCATGCAAGAGCTTTGAATCACCCTGGCTAGGTGAAGTTTGTTTCAGTCTGGATGCCTTGGGAAGATATGTCTAGATAAATTGCACCCATTTGAGGATACCACATGAGTTACTTCAAATTACAACTGCGACCCACACCACCATTTGATGTTTGCAAATTTAATCATGCCCTGGATTTTATTACCCAGATGCAAAATACCAATTCCTGGGCAACATTATATACAATTTACTTTACTGATCTAAGATAACACCAGTTTGCATCTGCACTTTGATCCAGCAAACATGAAAAGCAACACAAATAATGAAAGCTTATTAGAAGTCACACCTTTGACTGATGCTGCTTCACTGCTGGTGAGGGTTTCAGTAGCACCTGAGCCTGATGCTGCAATGGTCCTAAAATGGTCATCATTGTGACAGAAAAGAAAAGAATTATTAGGAAAGATTCTTCAGACAAACTGAGCTAACACAAATTCAACACATGCAGATAGGACATGCCTACAATGTGAAGCAGCTCTAGGTCACCTATAACGTAACACAACAATTTTTTATTCAAGATAAAATGAAAAAATAAAGTACATCTTGAAAAAGAAGAGACAAAGGTTGGCCCAATGATGTTATCTGCACACAATAACACATTCAGTAAAACTAGCTAAGAGATGAGGTTAAAAACATGCTCAAGTCCATTCTCCAGCAGACTGTTCCACCCATGTAGCATTTACATACAATAAAATATTCAGTAAAACTAGCAAAGAGACTAAGTTTTAAAGACGCTCAAGTCCTTTCTAAAATTTGATAAAACTTCAGGCTTCCCAGCAGACTATTCCACTCATGTAGTACCATACAAAGAGCTAAATAATTTATACTTAAAAGCATCAACTACTGGTATATTTACAACGTGCAGTGACTGAACTTACCCATCAGCAGCTACTGGGACATATTGCTTTGTTTCAGCATTCCAATACAGATACTGTCCAGTAGCACTGTTGTAATAATACTGGGGAAACAACAATAAGACAGGAGACAAGTAGCTGACTCATTTTAATCATTTTTCTGACATTCATGGACATGTATCACAAGCTATTTCAAAATTGCTGTGACCTGCAAGAAACTTATAACTCTTCCATCAGGCCTCATATTTGAAAATGATATTTTTTATTTGGTTTTCCTGCCTCAGTGTGGAAACCTTTAACCCCCAGAAGTGATTAACTTGAAACTTCCCCTTGCAATTCCAATGTTATCTTGCATAAAGGTTACAAATGGAGACTAGTTTATCATCCACAGGATGTCATGTCAATGCAACACTGAATTCCCCTGTCTAATTTACAAGGAACTGTAGAGTAGTCAGTAGGGAGAAATACTGATTTGATCTTGAGTCTTAAAAAGTTAACAAAACCCACTCCATTTTGGCCACAAAAGGTTAGGAGAATGGTGTAATTGATGTCAATCTATCAATAACCAAGTTATTTTTAATAAAATTCAATACTTATTCCAAAGTAATACCTGAGTATTTGCATCATAATACAACCCTGTTGTTGAATTATAATAATAACCAGAGGATGGGTCATAAACATAGTTTGCAAACGATGGTGATGAAGCCAATGCCTGTGACTGCTGTGACTGTGTTAAATCCACCTGAGCTTGGGGTTGAGTTTGTTGCTGGTTCTGTGCAGTGCCACCTAAAGACAAGGGTTGTCAAATCAAAGCTAAACAACGTGAAATTTCAGAGGCAAAGATAAATATTACACTTAACATGTATAATGGGTACATCCAAAGCATATTTCAAGATTCTTTTAAAAAGATAATTGCTCCAATCAAAATTTTATGGTGGAATTCTTAGAGCCAAGGAAGAACAAGATCAAAAAACTTGTTGTGAAGCCCTAATAAACATTATGAGTGCCATTCAGTTCTAGGTACAGTAACTACATGTACCACTTAACTCATGCAAGGGTAAAACAAAATTAGCAAATTCATATCATTTAAAGTTTCAAAATTATAATCACTGAAAAAAAAAATTACCTTGGACTTGATCAGTTGTTGTCCCTGTACCTGATTGGAGAGTGATTAAAAAATACACAAATTACTAAAAATTCATCACTGCAAAAAGACTTTTACTGGTGTCCCAACCCATAAAAATTAGGACGATCATCACTGTGAATCATTGTTGCATATTTCATCATAAAAAGGCACACAAAGGTAGCCATACCTGTGATAGGCTGTTGTTGGTACTGCAAAAGAATTAAAAACAAAGAAAGTTTTTTTTTACAAAAAAAACATCTTTCTCTATTTCTATTCCAAGCTTACAACTCAACTTCCTTCTTATTCTATTTAAAAAATATGATGCTATTGACACTGCTGATCCTAACAGTATGCAGGACAGGGCCTTGCTCACCACAGGGTCTCTGTGGCTCAGTGATAGAGTATCAGAGTGCAGAATCCAAAGGTCTGAGATTTGACTCCTCATAAGGACTCAGAATTTTTTTTTATGAGAAAAATATCTCTATACAATATCTAAGATGGCTTAATGTTCATAATGTCTTGGATGACTTTTTTGTTGTAATGTGAATTCAAGCTCAGCCAATTGAATACCCATATATGCCATGATTATTCTATCTAAAAAAAAACAGATGACGAGGCACTTTACTGTAGATGTGTAATTGCTAAAATCCAGTAGCATCTATCATATAACTCTTCATATACGTGTCATCTAAGAAGAAAATCAATTTATCTTAATTTTTTGATGAGGTAAAAGTGATGTCAGAGCCTTACTTGCTGCTGCTGGGTTGTAGCCTTTGCATCATAAGTTGGCAAGGTAGCAGCTTGGCTGGCAGCTGTCACTGTACCCATGTTGCCGGCAGCCTGTGCTTGAGCCATGGCGTTAGCAGCAACAGTACTAGAGGAAACCTGAGGCTGAGATCCGATGGCTGTCTGTGACCACTGTGCCTGTTCAATGGCTGCTGATGCTACTGAAGCACTGCTGAAGGCAGAAAAAAAGTGCAAATATGTCCTCAACATCCCTTAGAAGTTTATACTACACAAAAATCTCATTTATCCAACTTGCTTCCTCTCACTCTATGAGTACAACCAACAAAAAAAATTCCACTTACATGGTATTTTTTGGTGGATTATCATGATGGGCATAAGATGCCGTAACAATTCTACCATCAATAGTAAAAGGGGGGTGCATGTTAGTGATGATTTCCAGTAACTGACTTGCTTCCTGGACAAAGAAGAATGATATGTCTCATGTCACTAAATTAATCTTAATCATGCAGTTTATTACAAATCTGTGTCAGGGTTGGTACCTCATCACACCTACAAACTTAAAATACATTCAAGATATAGCTAAAGTAAGTAGCAGGAGGCATGTGCTGGCAGGTTTAGTGAACTCAAGATCTCAAAGGGTTTGGGATTTTTTTATTTTCTTGACAAAGATACTTTTCTTTCAGCACTCCTCCCTAACCAGGAGTATAAACAGGAGCTGGTTAACAGTCAGAAAACCAGACAAAATGTTTGGGGGGGGGGGAGGGGAGAGGAGGGTTAACAGGTAGTGGATAAGCATTCGGGCTAGTAAATTTTAGAAATCACTAGCCCAGTGGCTAGTAATGCAGGTAGCCAGGTGTCGAACCCTGAGTGGCTGATTCACTTCAAAGATAAAAATTTCCAATAGGTATTCATGACATGCCAATCACATCCATTATACATCACTTCAAGGAATTGGTTTTACATCAACGCCACATGATTGATAATTATTGCTTTGTGGCAGTAGCCACAAAAAGCAGGATCAGAATTTTCTCATTTGCTTGATTTAAAAAGTATGGTAGTTGCATATCCAAAGTAGATAATATGTTAAATGTTGTCATATGTACCTCAACTGAACCAAGCTCAACAAAACAGAATCCTCTTGATGTGTTAGTTAATTTATCTCTAATGAGACGCACATCATATACAGGAAGAGCTGTGATCTCCACAAGGGCTTTTCGTATCTGAAAGTCAATAACACACCATAGATAATGAATGAAGCAATTATTTAATTTCACTATTTGTGTCTGAAAGTAATTTGTCACATACAATAACTTTGGACTCTAGTACAACAAGAAGACAGACACATCAACTCATGATCATCAAATTTAAAAAACTATGGAGTGAGGGGCCTTATGCTTTGCTTGATGCTACAAGGAAAGATAATGACAATAATCACAATCGGGTTGATTTCACACTAGTGTCATAAGCAAATCTTACCGCTTCATCATTAGTGATGGTATCCAAGCCCCTTAGAATCAGGACTGAAATAACAGAAACAAAAAAATCATGTCATTATTTTAGCCCAGAGCTATAAATTCAATGCTAAATGCTACACACCTTTTCAGTGGTAACTCACACATGTATATATCTTATCTAAAATTTTGTTTGATTTTCTTTGTCTACCAATGAGAAAATTTTGTTACAATGGCAGAAACAAAACACTTAACTCCATGAAGACTCTCAAGTTGAAGTTGTTGCAAGTTAGATTGAAATGGAAAAAAATTCAAAAATTTTACCTTTACATGGATTATTTGAAATTTCCTTATCATCCCCTAAATCTAAATAAGAGTAAAAAAACAAGTGTAAGGTATCTTTCCCTGCCTATTTTTGACCTCTGACAAACTTCACAAACTAATTATTGTGAAACTAATTAATGTATGGATAATTTATAAAGAAGTTACATCTTGATTACTTCTGGGAGTTAAGGGTAAAAGACCACTAATGCATACTTTAGGATACATATGTAGCAGATAAGACTTGTCACTAACCAGCAATACTACTCTCTTTAGGTGCTCCACACTTAAAGCATGACAGACGCCTCTTTGAGGAAAAATTCTGACCACCACACTGTTTGAAGAACACAAAAATGATTAAGACAGGATCTCAGAGCTTTTTTAGGTATTAACTTTAATATCACATTGCATGTATATTCAACAACCATCTTTATGAGACACCATATACATCAAAAACAACACTATATTTTAAACATTTCTAATAATTTGCTAACCTGTTTCATTTTAGGCAAGCATGGAAAGAGATGAACATTCTTTTAAGAGCATAGAGCTGATGCTTCAACCCAAAACATCTAAGCCCAATTTTTCAAAGGACAGATAACCCTATCCTATAGAAAGCTCACTGTCAATTAGAAAAGAGTAATCGAAACCATTGTACTGTGCTATCCACCTGATACATCCATTGAATAGCATTATCTAGACTTTAAGCAACTGACACATGCCTATTAGGCAGGGCTCATTAAATTTCTTTTTATAAAATCCCCTTGGCCAACAGCATATGAAGGAGATATTTTATCTTTTGCTTTATATTTTACAGCATCAGCTACTGGGAAGCTAGACAGTATTAAATCTCACCTTACTACAAATCCAGTCCTTATCTGCTACAACTGAGGCAGTTTTAGGTCTGCTGTAATCAGCACAGACTCTGTGTCCACGTACATTATACCTCCCCTAACAGAATACCCAAATAAAAATTTAAATATTTATTACACAACTCACTTATCATTGAAATTAATTATTCAAACTACACTGCTAAAAAATTGATTCAACCAGCTCATAATAAGAACATTGCTGGCCTCAAATAAACCTGTTTTTATGAGGTTAAAAAATCCCTCTTCCCATAGTGTTAGTATAACATTCCTCTCTAATTTAAGCAAATCAAACACCATCCTGACAGTGAAAAGAAACTTAAAATAACCATACTATCACACAAAAAACCCGAAATTTCTATTAATTCCCCCACTTCATTCTTGAATAAGTTCCTTTCCAAATGATGTGCACCTCTCCCTTAAGCTCTCCTCTCTGACAAGCTCTTCTGACAATTTTTCCTAGTGCTTGTTACAGTGTTTTCTGCACTAATGAAAACCAATATACAGTTGTGTACATTAGCAAAAACAGATGTGTACAAATATTTTGTTTGACATACCTTGTGAAGTTCCATCCAGTCCTGCGCATCAGAGACACTTTTAAACTCTAAAAAACCAAACCCCTTGGAAATACCTGTAATAAATGTGACATAACATTTTAAGAAATTTGAGGTTAATATCAAGTAGTTTATTACACTGCACTACAACAAAACTTGTTTGCTTTGAATTAGCTGGCTTTTGAAAACAAATGTACGGCTTATGAGCATTTCCATGGAAATGATCCACATAGCAAAATCCTGACCAAGTAGGAATTAATCAGAACACCCAGATTTACATCAGGATTATCTTGCCACATACTAAAGCTGGATATTGACCATGTTCCAAAGAAAAACAGCCAATACACATGTAAATACAACAGATCAAAGTCAACTATAAATTACTTACCACTTCTATGGCGAACCACTCTCAGATCTAAGAAGTCAGTACCATCCCTTTGTAACTCATCTACCATCTAGAGGTAAAGAATCAGATTTACTTACAATACAACTCTCTTCATTCCTAAGAAATTTAAATAACTTTTGCAGTTATGAGGCAATGGCCCAATCTTAACCTTAAGGTCACTGGCTCAGCTGGTAAACTTGGTTTTTTTATATTGTAAAATTGGTTGGTCACTGCCATAAATAACACTTTAAAAAGAGAAATGTAATCATTTGTCTCACAATGTGGTCGCTATAGGATGTAGATCACAATGTTTCCATTGCATACTGCTAGTCTTCTTCAGGTGATGAGGTTGATTTACTATGCGTCACCTATATGCTGAAGTGCTCAGCTATGATTGGACAGAACTCCACAGCTGTGACTGGTGCTTGTTTGTTTGCTTAACTCATTTCTGATACAGTTGAGCATGAAACTGACAGTAAGTACTTACATCTTCCTCTCTGAAGTCCTTATCAAGCCCATGTAGAATAATAACACTTGTTGGTTCTTCCTGCCTGCTGTCCTGAAGTCTTCTGTCATCTCCATCCCTGTCACGAGAGTGGTATCTACTGCGTGAAGACTCCCTGTCCCCATAATCTCTATCACGGTCACTGCGATCATGCTAAATTCAAGGTCATTGATAACAAAGATTATTTAGCTGTGTACAGAATTACAAACACTGCTTGTGTTGGAGATGAAACTGATCCAAAAGATTCTTGTTCATATTCTTGTTTTGAAGTCTTCAATGATAGATAACTTCCTGAGTTTTGAAATCAGTAAACTCTTGAAAACAATTAATCGCTGTGTCAGGTAGTCAATGAAATACACTTAAAAAGATGATTAAAAAAATTAACTCATTCCACTCTGCAAAGTTTTGTGATAATTTAGATTACTGATTCAATTTGTAGGATCTGTACCACTTACATGCATATAATATTTGTATAGTGTCCCACATTTGAAAATATTGCTCATAGTGATATTTGAATTATGTGGGGAAAAAAATTTAACTTTTGACAAGCTTACAAATTTCCATCATATTTTATCAATAACAGGATGTAAATCATTTCACAAGATAAGGAACAAGTGTACAACTTCATCACTGTGATATCCATCATTCCTCTTCCAGTCTCTGCTGGTGTATCCTGTTCTGTCTCTGTTATCGTAATCCCAGTCGCGATCTCTATCATAGCCTCTATCACGATCACGATCACGGTCACGATCGCGGTCACGATCCCTGTCAAGGTCTCGCTCTCTGAGTCTTCCATAATCTTTACCACCATCAAAGTCACCAAGGCGATCTTGCCGATCATGATCATAACGGTCTCTGCCCCAATCTTGGTTATTGCGGCTGTCACGATCGTAGCGATCTCTGTCATGAGACCTATATCTATCTCGATCGCGATCTCTACTAATTCTCTCTTTATCATGGTCATTATCCCTGTTTCTTTCTTTATAATAATCTCTGTCGCGCCCAAAAGGATCAGCTGCATCACCACGCCTTGTATCTGGACTTCTGCGACGCTCATCTCTGTCTGTTCTGATGTCCCTAAAGCGGCTCAGCTCACGTCCAATGTCACGTTCAAGGTCACGTTCTCTGGAATCCTTATTACGGCCATTACTTCTGTAGTCTGAACTTCTCCTCAGATCACTAGGGTCATCTGTCATCCTACATCAGTATTTTAAACCAAGGATGGAAAAAGCGAGTTTAGACTGAAGAAACACAGTTCACTGACCTTACTCACCTTGGGATATCAAAACAACCTTTGACTTTATGACCTTGTGACCTCTACAATAAGTCCCTGATGAACCCTAATGGAATATTCTTACAAATTTGTTTGCCACAAACCAATGGAATCCCAGCAACCATGCCTTGGGATCATGAAGCAGTGAAAGGTCAGAGGTCAAGCTGTTAGGTTGTAAGGTTTCACAAACTCAATTGTGATTTCTGATGCCAAATCCACAAAATGCAATTCCCATTTTTGATGCACGAATATCCATGAATAGTACAAAAAGATGCTGATGAAATCTTTACTCTTTCAACGTAATAGTCACCATTTCATATGCAGCAAACTACAGTACATGAATACTGCATGGATACAAAACAAACCACATTGCACAACACTGAATTATGTTAGACATAAAGTTCAGAACCTTTCAGCGGTGTCTTCCCGCCTAATGTCCATTTTGTTAGCTTCTGAATAAGGAAACTGTCCGCCGATAAACTTGGAACTGAAGATCGGGAGCGACCTACAAATCCTTCGATCGACCAACTACAACAGTGACCTGAAATTGATACGAGGATAAATGTTCAGTAAAACGATCTAATGAGGTAAAATGCAACCCAAAAACAAGGTTCGGAATGTTCATCTCTTTCGACACGAGGACAAGGATGCTATTTCCACGTAAAGTGCACGCTGAGAGAAAAGTGATGCCAATAGTCCCAAGATGGCGGCGAGGAGTAACGAGCCAGCGTGGCTTTCTGCAGACAGATCCGAGTCACTGCGAGCGAAAGACCTGTGGATAAAAAGTTAGCTAAAAGAATTCACGGCAGTTTTTAGTTCTCAATACAAACCTTTCGTTTATTGGCAAAAGCGAAGGATAATTTCAGTTACAATTAGCTCTCATGTGTCTTGTTTTTGATAATTATTCTATGAGGTACGGATGCTCAGCCTTCACACGACTGGTTACTAAGCAGGTTTCCCGCGCATGTCTTCAAGACACTCAAAACAAGATGGCGGAGGAAACTAAAGGCAGCGGTTCAAAGGTATTTCAAACGAAAACCCAAGAATCTTTGATCACTTTATATAATTTGGTTCCTCCAGTTGTTTAATTTTTGTAGGCGATCTCGTTCAATTTGTTCCAAATTTTTGATCGAGAAATTAAGTTTTTGATTGTGCAAATGAAATGTTATTAAATATCATGTAATTTAATTAAGATGATAAATTTCACTGATTGATTTATTTTCGCGGTATAATTGATTATGCCAATTTCAATTTTTAAGAAATAAGCCTTCAATAGCATTGGAGTGATACGGGGATTTGAGCCGGTGATCTCACGCTCCTGCTCTAACTAACTGCGCCGTGAAGTCACTTCAAGTGCAGTTGTTTGTATGTCAGTTGCAGCTGATTTTTTTGCTGTGAAATCGATGAAATAAGTTTTAGAGTTTGATGAATCATATGTGATGAACTGTTGTGATGAAATGAAATGACTGAATGATCTTTGCTATGAATTACACAAAATTGGAGCCAAGGGGGAAAAAAAATTAAGAACCTTCATTTCTTCCCTTTCATTACACATACTTGCATGTACCCGATTTTGATCAACCCCCCTTATCAAGAGGTTCAGGGGTTTCAAAATAAGTCAGTGACTGCTGAGGTTCTGCCAGTTACTTGATAACATGTCACTGGTTACTCTGGTCAAAATTATTACCTTTTGGCCTTACTGAACTTTTTCAAAGTCACCGACTTTTGCTGAGTCTGACACCTTCAAAACATTTTGAAACCCTTGGAGGCTCCCTATATTAGTGAATAGTGAATCAGGGTGTATCCCAAAATCTTAGGATCAAATCATGTTGAATTCTAAATCTGTTTTCCATATTTTTGTTCTATTCAGAAGCTCAAGGAGGTAGCTCGTAAATTTAATGTCCTACCTGAAAGACAAGCAAAGGTGAATTACATGATTGCAGCACGAGAGAAGGTAGAGGCTGCAAAGGTAAAAGTACCCATCCTCCAGTCTTGAAATTCAGCACCAGTTATTAATTGTACCTTATAGCTGTATTTATTTCTTCATTTTCAACAGTATTTATCATAACCTGCTCTCTCTACCTTTTGTTTTAGCAATAGATCTATTTGTTATTTGTTCTGCTTGCTGAACTTGCTGTGCTTGGTTATGTATTAGTTGATTTAGCTTTGAAATTGTAACTGCATAGCTATTATATCATTTAGCTTAACCCTTAAACTCCCATAAGTGATTTACAAGTAACTTCTTCCTTTAATTTCTAAACATTATCCAGCAAACAGGTAATGAGAGTATTCAATCTTATCAGATCAAAGATGCTATCTAGATCTGACACCAAATTCTTGTAACTTATTTACACATTAAGGAAATGTGTAGCAGCTAGAGGGGAAAATTAATAATCAGATCTTGGGGGTTTAAGGGTTAATGTTCATTCTTAATTTTTCCAAATACCTGCAAAGATTAGCCAATGCTATACCTTGGTTGTGTAAATTGTGATATTGGAATCTGTGCTGCAGTAAAGTAGTAGTAGATGTAGTGATAGGTAAAGTCTATTCTTATTTTAGTAATATTAATGATTCTGAATTGTAAGTGACTTTAATTCATGCACTCAGATATCATCACTGATTCTCATTATGCTTGTAATTTAGGAAGAAAAGTCCAAGAAAGATGATTCAGCATATTGTGTATGTGGAACAAGTGACACCAGTCGCTTTATGATGTAAGTACTGATCACCATGTGGCTGAACAATAGAGAGGGGGATTTAGTGTCTGTGGGGTACAAGAGAAAAAGAAATTGTTTTGTCTCTAAGCAGATGAAATAATGTGACCATGCAAACATTAAGTTAGAACATGGCCTTGCAAACTGGAAAAAGATCCAGCCACAAGCAGGAAATTTTCATGTTAGCACCCAATTGAAGAATGATTTCTTTGTTTTCCTTCATCGTAATGTCTCATTACTGATTTACAAGGAAATGTGTAACAGCAAGAGGGGAGAATTTATGATCTGATCTTGGGAGTTACAAAGGGGCATCAGATTATATTCTGCAATCTTACACTTCTCTAAATGGTGACACTTAGAAAACTTGTGTGTTGTTAGAGGGGTTAACTTTCTAAAGAAACTGTGGTGCTGCATTGGTAGGAGAGTATAACAGGGTAATTTAGTACTGGTATCATCAACTGAGTTGATGACATAAATTGGCCACCATAATGAGTTTAAATGAGTGTGTGGGTTTATCTGCAGAAAATGGATCTATGCTATTGATGGGAATATGGTGACAAGAGCACAAGAATAAATTGGGGGGATTAAAAGTGCTGATTTGGAAGATAAATGTTTGTTCTAGAGTTTTGCAGCTTTCCAAACTGCCTAGATATAGGAAAAGGTCGCAAACTGTCATATGCTGCTTAGAGTGGTTAGGGAGATCAAAGTGTCTAGCAACTGGTTTGGATGTGTCTTCGTCATTTCTTTCTATGTTGCGAAGGTGTTCTCAGAATCAGTTACCTGTCGTCTCCCTGTTTCACCAATGTATAACTTTTTGCAATAAGTGCAAGTTATGCAGTAAATGACATTAGCAGAGATGCTCATAAAGTGATCAGTGATCTTAATAGATCTCTTGGGCCCCTGACATTTTCTCTATGTTTTGAAGAATGAAGGGACAAGTTTTGCACCATGAGTGAGTGCATTTGAAAGTCCTAGCCATTGTTTTGAAATGAACTCCTGACCAGAAGGTTGCCTATGTTTTTGTCGCATTTGAATGAAATTAGTGGAGTTTGTGAAAATATAGTACCAGTCTCTGAATTGTTTTGAAGCAATTTAAAGTTTTTAAGAATGATAGATTTAACTGCATGGTTGTGAGGGTGAAATGTAAAAGTGAATGGAATTCAAATTCAAATTGTGTGTTGTTACTTTGGTAAGCATGCAAACAACATTAATTTAATTTTGCCAGAGCTGGTGAGGGTACTGGTACTGGTACATAATTATATATTTTGTAACTGTTTCTTGCTCAGATGTTGTGACAGATGTGATGAGTGGTTCCATGGAGACTGCATTGGCATAACAAAGCTGGAGGCCAAAGAAATTAAGCAGTATTACTGCGCACAATGTTTAGGTGAGTCATTATCTGAACTCTTTGATCCCTAAAAGTGATAAGCATTGAATTTCTCCCAATAGTACTATCCCTGAATCAAACGTGAAGGTCATGAGAATAAAGGAAATGATCAGGAACTCAAGAGGCTCTTCATTGTGAGACTAGTTCTCCTGGCTTATAACTATCATCATGCATAAAGAACAGTAGAGAGAATTTGTGTACTGATGTGATGGTTTAATTTAGTTTAACCCTTTAACTCTCATAAGTGACCAAGACAGAATTTCTCCTTACGGTATCAATATAATATCAACCAGACAAGTGATGAGAATATTTAGAAAAATATCAATTTGGGGATAATTAATTGATCTGATATTAAATTCTCTGAACTAACATTATAAGAATTGTATGATTAACAGTAAGGAGAATTACAAATTTGATCTGGGAGTTAAACGGTTGAGATGACCTTGTCCATTCAGCCATTATACTAAGGCAAAATGGTGGATATTTTCAATTTAGAAGTAAAAATGCAGTCATTTTAAGGTGCATTTACCCTTTTATTTGTTTCTTGCCTCAGAAAAGGACCCAGACTTGTGTATAAAGTACAGGCTCAAAAAACCGAAACCTGAGAAGAGAGACAAAGTTCCCTCAGAGAAGAAAGAAAAGCAGCACAGTTCATCAAAAGATGATGTAAGTGATCTCTTTGAAGGTTCTTTTATTTGTCTGTTTCATTTTTTTTCCCATTTGTTTTTATCTTTTTCAAACACACTAAAAAATTGAAACAATTTTGACAAGATGAATGTTTATGTTCCCTGCAGAGTGAGCGTAAGAGATCAAGGAGAACATGTGGTGAATGTGTGGCATGTGTTAGGACAGAGGATTGTGGACAGTGTGACTTCTGCAAGGTACTGTGTTACTAAACAGAATCTTTTACAAGATGAAGCCTCTCCTTGAGAAAGTTTTATTTGAATTCAGTGAAACATTCTTGCCTTATATCTCCTCCTGGTCTGCTCCAAAGTTTGGGAAAAGAAGAAATTAGTTTTTAAGGAGAACTGAGTGAGTTCCTGTATGACAGAGAGACTAAATGGCTTACTGACTGACTGACTGAATGACTGAATGACTGACTGAATGACTGAATGACTGACTGAATGACTGACTGACTGACTGACTGAATGGGTAATTGTAAGAAGAGCTCCCCAAAACTGGTTACTGACACTCTACTGACAGCTAACCAACAGGTTACTGACAGGTTAAGAAAAAAGAAAAATTGTGTTAAAAACGAACAGTTAACGTGACATAACAATCCATAATGGTGATGTATGAAAGGCTATTCTTGTCAATGTATTACACATGTTGGATGTTGTATCAAGCAAAAACTGAGAGAAAACATTAAGGTTTGTGTTAACGTTTTACCCACAAGCTACCAACAGGTTACCGAGACATTACCAACAGTTGGCCGACTGTCGGCCCACTGTCAGCCGACAGGTAGCCTATATTTCGGGCAAAACCTGTTGGCCGTCTGTTGGCCAACTGTCAGCTGACAGACAACCAACTGTCGGCCGACAGACGACCAACTGTCGGCTGACTGTCGGCTGACTGTCGGCCGACAGTTGACTGATAGTCGGCCGACAGGTTTTTTGGGGAGCTCTTCTTCACAATTACCGACTGAATGACTGACTGACTGAATAAATGACTAAATGGCAGACTGGCTGACTGACTGACTGAGTGACTGATTGACTGGCTGACTGACCAACTGACTGGCTGACTAACTGACTGTCTGAATGCCTGACTGCCTGCCTGATGGACTAGCTGACCAGCTAACTGACTGACTGGCTAACTTACAAAGTGAAAGGAGAATTCTATTAACTAACTACTAGTCTAACAGCTACATGGCTATGTTATTGTCAGGTTGCCTCAAAAAGTCAAAAACTGGTTTTGTAAGCTTTCATCTGTTCTTTTTAGGATATGAAGAAGTTTGGTGGCCCCAACAAGATGAGACAGAAATGTCGCTTACGACAATGCCTTCTGAAATCAAGGGTAAGCTAGGCTATTCATTTTCATACACTTGTTGCCATGTAGCATGTAGCTCCATTTTCTGCATATAAACACACACAAAACCCACAATTGCTCTGAGGAAGGGCTAACACTCAAAATGTCAGCTTTGAAACTCTTTACAGTGGCCAGTTTACATTATCAACTCGATTGATGATACTTAATTACCCTGTTATCCTCTCCCATCAATACAGCACCACAGTTTCTTTAGAGAATTAACCCCTTTATTCGAGCAAACTGGTAGGTTTGTGTCTTTGTAGTTTTACTAACATAATGTTGCTTTAACCCTTAAACTCCCATGAGTGACCAAAACAGAAATGCTCCTCACAATATCAATACAATATCAACCAGATAAGTGATGAGAATAAAGAAAAATATCAATTTGGGGATAATTAGTTGATTCAATACTAAATTCTTTGTACTAACATTATAAGAATTGTATGGTTGACAGAAAGGAGAATTACAAATTTGATCTGGGAGTGAAAGGGTCAACCTAATAGTAACTTGTTTTATATCAGGTTCTTCTACGAGGTGGCACAGCTTACAGGGACATGTTGAAAGATGAGGAGAGTAGAAGAGAAGATGGCGATATTGATATTGAGGTACACAACAAACTTACTATAAGAGTTGTTAGTTGTCCTTTATTTGAAGCCTTTGATTGTGTAACATACTACAAAAAAGGTTATTCATTTCAGTCTCCTTAAATCTGTTGCTAGTCTAGCACTTATGAACCCCCGATTTTTACCAGAAACTGTGACACTTAAAGCATTCAGTTGCTAAGTAATTAGAAATAAATATCTATATAGTAAGCTCAGTTATGCATGCATTCTGATTGGTTCTCACTTATGATCTATTGGAGGACAGATGTATAGATGACATCTAATCTCAGAATTAAGTCAATTCTGTGCAGAAAACTTTCTGTAAAGTTATCACACACTAACATTTCTTTTATTCTTGGTAACAGAGTATTTTTCCACTGAGAAAACAACGGAAAGCAGTGAAGATGAAACATGCCAAGTCTTCAGAGAGTAGGAAGGTTTGTCAATTCCGATAGCATTCTGAGTATCTTAGCTAACCAAATGACAAAAAGATTGCTGCAATAGAAATAGTTTTATATTTGTCAAGATAGTAAAACAGCTTGCTAAATGGCTAAACTTTGATGCCCCTTGTCAAAAATACCAGATGGCATTAAGGATCAAATTTTTTTGTTAAACAGGAGAAGCTGAGGCAAACCAGTGAGAGGGCACGCAAAAGAAAAAGGATCATGTCAAATGAAGAAAAGAGTAGACTTTCTACTGAATATTGTGAAGAAAGAGAAAGAGAGGAAGTACGGCAGTGTTATGGTCCGGGTTGCACCAATGCTGCTCGTTCTGGCTCAAAGTATTGTAGCGATGAGTGTGGCATTCAGCTTGCTGTCAGGTAAAAATGCAGACAAATCTTGTAGATCTAAATTGTAATAGATTGCAGGTAAATTCCAATTTAGATTAAATACATCAAGATTATAGTAACTCGTGATGGTAGACAGTAGAGAAAAAGTTTTCATTTGAATGGTCACGCACTTCAGGTGCATTACAGAACTTGTAATTTTTTATGAAAAAAAAGGAAATAGTCATGCAGATGTATGCACCATACCAGTGTAAGGTAGTGGAGCCTACCTAGGATCTGGGTATGCTTCTTTTCAGCAATTGCTTAGCCCTTTAACTCCCATGAGTGACTGAGAGAGAATTTCTCCTTACAATATCAATACAATATCAACCAGACAAGTGATGAGAATAAAGAAAACTATCAATTTGGGGATGATTAGTTGATCCAATACTAAATTCTCAGAACTAACATTATAAGAATTGTAAGGTTGACAGTAAGGAGAATTACAAAGTAAGTCTGGGAGTTAAAGGGTGAAATTGAAGCTCACTTGCAAGGATCATTTCTTTCGTTAAAAATTATAGATGAAAGCAAAACATAGAGTAGTCTTAATATTAATTAAATTATATCAATATTCTATACTCCAAAAGTTCTAAACATTTTCTCCCTCTAGACGCATTCAAGAGATTTTACCCCAGAAAATGGCTAAATGGCAAAAATCTACAAGTGTCGCTGATATCAAAGCTGAGGAGTATCTGCAAAAACTGGCGAAAAAGAAAGAGGTGCAGTCTATGTTTACATGAAAAAATGAGATGTTTTTACCAATTTCTACCCTTCTTGGCTTTGACAGAAGCATTCTGTTCCTTTTCAGGAAGCTCAGGAGAAGTTGATGGAACTTGACAGACTGAGTAATGAACTTGATGCTTTTATAGAGAAGACAAAACATGCTACAATAGAAGAATCAGAGGTACAAATATTTTAAGTGCATGGATCAATGCCAGTCACTAAAATCCTGAAATGTTGTCAATGTTGTATTCCAGGCTTAGAAAGTGATAGAGTTTCGTGATTTTGAAAGAGTGCGATTTGTGATTAATCTGTCAAGACACATAGGGAATGGAGAAGATTTTCAAGCAATGGTCTGCAAAATATCAAATCCTTTTAATCATTTAACCTCTAAGAGTGACTGGCAATCAAGAATAAGGGAAATGATCACCAATCCAAGAAGCTCTTTATTGGTTAACAAACTCTCCTTTTCAGTATTAAAGGAAATGTATAGAGAACAGTATGGAGAATATGAGTTCTGATGTTAGAGTGTAAATGTTTAATGTTCATAGAGCTTAAAACTAACCAAGATAATGAAACACAATTGAAGGTATTCCCAAGAATTTAGTTCTTACCAAAAACTACTTTGTACAACATTATGTTCAAGTAAATTATCATGGTCTGTTCTTTGTCAGGCACAAGACACTGAAGTAGAAGGTGAAACAGATCTTCAAGTCCACTGCATTACCTGTGGACTACCATTAGCTCCTAAAGTTGCCCTCAGACATATGGAGAAGTGTTACATGAAGGTTCATACAGACTTTTGCATTCAGTCTCAGCTTTACAACTGTAATATAATCAATACCCATAGCTTTACTTTGCCCATGAGCACCTTTCCCTCCCACCCTGTCTTCTTTCCCCTCTGTGACATGCTTCTAAACAAGATAATTTGGTTTTATCAACTACAAGGATGATGTAAATTGGCCACTGAATCAATCATCAGCCCTTTGCTATTCACTCTCATGAAAGACTAACACTCAAAACATCAGCTTGAGAAACTCTTTGTGGTAGCCAATTTTACTAATTCATCTGATAAAACCAAAGTTTCTTGTAATACCTCCTACCAATGCAGCACCATACATTCCTTAAAATTTTTCCCCTTTATTCATGTCTGTGAACAGTTTGGAACTTGAGAGTTCAACATGATTGAGTAAATGGCCATAACATGACATTACTGATAACTTAAGGTACTTGGGTTCTGCTCTCTTACAGAATGAAAGCTTAACAACATTTGGTTCCATTTACAAAAGTGCTGGGTATGTGTTTTGGTTGTTGTAACTGCTCTCAGAGGATTTTTACCATTTAGAGAGAATGGTTGTTGTGTTGTTTTTTGACTTTGTTTTTGTTCTGAACCTTTGCTTAGGACTGAAATTTTATGCTTCAATTTTTCAGGAACTTGTTCTGTGATTATTACAACCATCAGCAAAAGATTTACTGCAAAAGACTCCGAGTTCTGTGCCCTGAACATACAAAGGAACCAAAGGTATCATCATGCTTTTGAGACATATTAAGTAGTTTTTACTTGTTTGCATATCATAACTCTGTAAAAATCTTAAAAGCCCTGCTCAATATGTATGTGAACTAACTGCTCACTTCTTAAAGAATATTTGAGACCTACAAATGTTTTTATTTCAAACTTTTTGGTTCATGGAGGATAAATGCAAAAATTGGACAAAACTCTCAGAACAGGTTTTCATTTAGAGCAACAACCTCCATGACATCTTTATCAACAGATTCCACTTTATTTTTTTAAGATCTCTGCTACTGATGTTTGTGGCTGTCCTTTAGTCACTAATGTCTTTGAAGAAACAGGAGATTTCTGTCGGGCTTCAAAGAGGAGATGTATGAAACATTATTGCTGGGAGAAGTTACGCAGAGCAGAGATTGATTTACAACGAATACAGCAGGTTTGTCTTTTCCTACTTTTCATACCTGAAAGAAATTTAACTTGTCTGTAAGTTCTCACATTATTGAAATAACTTTAGTCTTCTTATCTGACCTATTTTTTGTTTCATTTCAGTGGCTAAAACTTGAAGAGGCATTTGAACAAGAACGGTCCCTCAGATATGCTGCGGCACAAAGAGGAGGAGTACTGGGTCTACTGCTGCATGAGACAACATGCCATGAATAAAAGAACCTCCTGCAACATTTTAAAGACTTTGTAATAAAATAAATTATTTTCTTTACAATTTTGTCAAAATTTGCCTTTATTTTCAAGATAATCATACCTGATGCAGAACAATTATAGTTTCTACGAGTGGAAAGGGGCCATTGTAAGTAAGCTGGTAAGGGTGTTAAGTTACACATTCACTTGTGGAATCCAACTGTGAGCTAGTCAAATCCGATTATCACACATTGATCTTTAAGTTACAAGGAAGTTTCCATTTGCAAAGGAAGGTTACAAGTTCAGTCTCAGATACTCACTGAAGGACAGAGGCTGATTACTACAAAACCTTCTGAAAAATCACCTGTTAAATTTACTCTGCAAGATATCTTCCCTTATTCCTAATGGTCAGTGCACTGGACTATGGGTTGAGAGGCCTGGGTTCAAGACCTGGCTGGGACATTGTGTTACGTTCTTGAGCAAAACACGTTTCTCTCACAGTGCCTGTCCCCACCCAGGAGTGTAGATGGGTACTGGTGAATTGTCAGGGAAGCCTGATGAAATGCTGGAAGGGTAACCTTGCAATGGACTAGTGTCCCATCCAGTAATAATACTCCATAATAATAATAATGCTAATAATGCTGGAAGGGTAACTTTGCAATGGACTAGTGTCCCATCCAGTAATAATACTCCAGGAGTATAAATGGGTATGGGTGAATTTTCAGGGAAGCCTGATGAAATGCTGGGAGGGTTACCTTGCAATGGACTTGTGTCCCATCAAGTAATAATACTCCATAATAATAATAATGCTAATAATGCTGGAAGGGTAACTTTGCAATGGACTAGTGTCCCATCCAGTAATAATACCCCAGGAGTATAAATGGGTATGGGTGAATTTTCAGGGAAGCCTGATGAAATGCTGGGAGGGTTACCTTGCAATGGACTTGTGTCCCATCAAGTAATAATACTCCATAATAATAATAATGCTAATAATGCTGGAAGGGTAACTTTGCAATGGACTAGTGTCCCATCCAGTAAAATACTCCAGGAGTATAAATGGGTATTGGTGAATTGTCAGGGAAGCCTGATGAAATGCTGGGAGGGTAACCTTGCAATGGACTTGTGTACCATCCAGTAATAATACTCCAGGAGTATAAATGGGTACAGGTGAATTTTCAGGGAAGCCTGATGTAATGCTAGAAGGGTAACCTTGTGAAGGACTAGTGTCCTATCCAGTAATAATACTCCAGGAATATATATGGGTATGGGTGAATTTTCAAAACTGGAATAAGCTCTGGCTGGGTGGACCAATAGGCTCAAGTGCAAACTTTACTTTGTCTTCAACTCAAAGATAACCATGTAATAATTAAGAAAATGAGGGGACATTGTATTTAATCAATCTAATCCTTGGTTTGTTTTTGCACTAACATTTAAAATATAAACCGTTTTATTGTCTTGAAATATTCTGCATCAACAAAGTCTTTCATTTCCTTCCTTGTCACCCAGATGTGATCAAAGTATCCTTCATGTAGTCTGACACAACCTGTTACATAGTTCACTTTGTAGAAAAATACCTAGGAAACAAAAAGAAGATTTTGAGGACAGACACACTTGGCAAGTTAAGACAACAAGTTCTGAAAAGTGTTTGGGTGCATCTCAGTAATATTTTTGGGTCTGAGATAAAGAAAACTCTGTCAAGTCTGAGGTAGGTTTTGATTTTGAGTGCATCTCAGTATAAGTTTTGGGCCTGAGATAAAGAAAACTCTGTCAAGTCTGAGGTAAGTTTTGATTTTGTTTCAGTAAGAGGAAAAGAGCTGATTTCATTCTTTTGAAGACGTAACATCTCCCTATTCCCAAAAGCATCATTAAAGTGAACCTCAATAAACAAGGTACCATACCCTTGTCTTCAGCCTGGCACTCCTCCAGCTTTAACAATGTTATCTTTTGAACATTATTGACCTCACCTTGTCATTTTTGTTTTTGTACTTTTTCATCACAGCAGTTGGTGCATTGCTAAGAAAATGAACTTTTAAATCAGTGCCACAAGTGTCACTTAAACTTTTTGATGCTACCTGAAATAAGTAAAAAATGCAATTTTATTTACAGTTATTGTTAATATTTATAAGAGTTGGACAAAACCCTATTGCCCACAATATCATCACCTGTGTTGTGAATGATGACAACACATACTTTGTTTGCAGATGAACCCCAAGATGAAACCATCCCAATAAAAGCAACTACACTGTGCCTGTAACTTTTTTTTGTTAAGTAGACTATGTTTAGTTTATTTTGCTACGAATGTGGTTCAGCCATTCAAAACATAGGGAAAAGGCTGTGCACATGACCATTACAACATGATAACCACTGTCTTTTAGAGTTGTTAATTCCAGTTTTACTAAATTGAAACCCCTTTACTCCCAAAAGTGATTAAGATGCAACTTCTTCCTCTAATATTCATACATTATCGAGCAAAATGGTCATGAGAGTCCTCAAACTTATCAGGTAGAAGTTATCATCTTGATCTAGCACTAAATTTCCCTACTAATTTATGAGGAAATGTGTAGCTGCTAATGGGGAGAATCAACAACCAGATCAAGGGAGTTGAAGGTTAAAAGGGAAGATGTCAACAAACCTGTTGAAGAGTGTCATTGGTGTTTGTCACTTCACCAAATGGCAGCTGCCATGTCACTGAATCCTTTTGGCGTCTTACTAACAAAATTAAGTTGTCTTGCAGTTTGCGATGCAATGATTTAAGGTCAGTTATTTTGTCTGCTTCTGTCTCTCGGCTCCCTGGCTGATAAAGTCTTAATTCCTCTTCTTGCTCCTCTTCAAATTGCTGTTGATTTATCATGACTAAATTAAATTTCATCAAATGTGCAATCCACCTATTTACTTTTCTTATTGTGGGCTACAAGAAATCCTTAACTTATGGAAATTTTTTTTCAGGATTTCCAAAAAAGAGGAAATTCCTATTCCCAGTTGTTACTAAAGCATTTCGTGATAACACAGGACTGAAATATTGATGTTTCTTTGATTTTTCTTGAAAACAAAGCCTACATCGGGGTTTACACTTTAAGGGATTTACCTTAACCATAGACAAAACTAAAGAAAAAATGTAGACAATTGAAACTGTCTGAAAAGCTTCAAAACAAAATAAAAAATTGTTGCTGCCTAATAATCAACTTTTCTAGTTCACTTGCCCTCTGGATAAAGCTCCAAACAAGCCACAATATAATCCATATCCCAAGGGGCAGTTTGGTTCCAGAGAGTATCAAGGGTAACAAAAGACATCTTCTATAGTAACTTCAATGTTTGAACCTCTCAGAGAGATAATGTGAAGTAATATTATGTGCTATCTTTATGTGTAATATGACTTCTTGGCTAAAATGGTATATCAAGTGGCATGTACCAGACGTACATAACTGTAGTAAAATAGGCTCCTTTTAACAAGAACAGTCACAATGCAAGATGCAGCCAATAGTGCTAGTCAACATTGTGCATGAACACATTATAAACTAATTCTTTTCTGCTCATGATATCTTACAGGGAGGCAGTAATCTCCAAGATATTTTCACTTTGTTTGAAGCCAAACTCAAATCTTATCGGCATGTACAAAAATCCGAAACAGCAAAATGAAATGACCAAACAAAACAAATAAAACAAGCAAAACGACCAAAACCAAGGAACCAAAACAAAATGACCGCTATGACCAAAATAAAACCACTAAAATGATTTAGATGAGTGGAGGATAAAATGTCACAGAAAATGTAGAATTCACTTCAGATATTCTCTTGCATTTGAGGCTTTGAAATAAATTAAGGCTGTCTCTCCAAACCTTTTTTTCCACCACATCAGCAGCTGAAACTATAATTTGACACATATATGATTGTAGTTTCTTGGACAGAATGCCAGCCATATTGAATACTAAAGTGTATACAGAAAGGAGAGGAGGAAACAGATAGCTGTATTCATTGACATGATTTTTTTATTTATTTATTTGATTATGAAGGTTCCCTCAACACCTCACGCCAAGCCAATCGCAATCAAGATGTAACACCTGACACCTCTGGGCATTAATTTTATCATTATTGACTTTTTTTTTTTTGCATATTTTTTAGTCATTTCAGATGTTTCATTTTTGCCTGTGACATTCATTTTGTTTCAATAGTTTTGTTTTGGTTGTTTCAGTGGTTTCGCTTGTTTCATTTTGTTTTGCTCATTACCATCATTTTGCTTTGCTTGTTTTGCTCCTTTTGCTTATTTCACTTGTTTCAATTTGGTCATTTCATTTTAATGTTTCAGGTTTTAGTACATGCCAATCTTAACAATCATAACAACCTTTCTTTTCGACTCCATCATTCCTATTGCCATACTTTCATCATCGTCATCATCCTTCAAGTTTTTCTTCCGTTCTTGAATTCCTTCCCACTCAACTTCATCCTCTGACAGTGCACTGTGCTCAAGTTCCAGTTGATCTTGAAGTTCCTCATACCGTTTTTCCAGTTCTGATTTCTCTTTTGTGATCTGTGGCAAACGTTGAACACAAACTGCACTGAAGATCCTTGAAATCCTTGGTTTTGGTTGAACTGAGCAGAAGTTCTTTCTATTGATAAAATCTAAGAGAGAAATCTCCTCTGTAAAATCCAATATTTAAATTCATTATCTTATCAATGTATTCGCAGGACAAAATCCCCCAGAGTAGTCTACCAGTTTTCAAGAAAACTGCCAAACTACTATCCCTCTGTGCTCTTACTTGTTATTTTCACGCTATCCCTGACCGATAAAGGGTAGCTTCTTAAAGAAAAACGCCCGAAACCTGGTCTCAAAAAGTATGCTCCCGGAGCCGCCATTTTGAATCATGCTTAGCAACCACTCATTATGGAACGCCTGGCTAAAAACAAGCATCATGGCGCTAAAGAAGTTGAAGTGCGTGACTTCACTCGAAAAATTTCATCAAATTGGGTCTTTATTTTTCCTCCATGATCAAGGACATACAGCAGAGAGCTCTAGAAGTCTTCTTACAAGCATTTTGAACAAAGACTTTGAGTTTGACCATATTCGAGTAATTTATCCGCAAGCTCCAGATATTACTTTCCAGGTCGCTCATGGCGGACTTGAACAAGGGCTTTGGTACGAGCGGAACACGTTAAGCCCCACTGCTATGGAGAGGATGGACTCGATTGATCACTCCTGTAGCTTGATTTGCCATTTGATTGATCAAGAAAAATCTCGCGGAATTCCAATGGATAGGATCGTCATTGGTGGATTTGGTATGGGAGGGAATCTCGCTATGCATATAGGGTTCAGGTATGCTCGTAAAAGGGTCATGATTTACAGATATAATATTCGAACTCAATTTTAGTGGCATAAAATTAAAACTAAATGGTCGATAATACTAACCAAACACCCCCAAAAGACATAAAATGCACTGATCGTGACATTCCCATGGCATGGTTAACTTTCAATCGTAGTTTAAGCGAGGATAAATTTAAGTGAAAATAACGTGGGTGACATTTACATGGCGTGTGTAGACCCATCACTGAAGAAAGCTGTTTTTTTCATCACGTCACGAACGTGGAAAAAGATAAAAATTACGGGTCCCCATGAGGGACCTTCTGCTCCCGCTCTCCAATGGTTTACCACTAGGCCACAGAGCCTCATATCGACAGAGTTAATATTTGACACGTGTTTCGCATACCACTAGTAAGAACCATTACTAAAATTGAATATTGCGTGACATAGAAATCGCACGTAACACTATAAGACTTTTCCTTTTTTCTTTTGTCCATCAGGTTTCTCACGAACATTGCCGGTGTTTTTGCTCATTCTTCCATCTTATCGACGCGGTCGACTGTATTTGAGACAATAAGAAAAGAGAGAGAGCTTAACAAGGACAAGAAGTTCCCCGCTTTGTTTATGTGGAATGGAAGAAGAGATAAGAACTGGCTGAGATGGGCTGCACACACTGCAGAGTGTTTTATGGACTTGAAGATACAAACTGATTTCCAAGTAAATTACGCAATGCAAGGACATGAAATTATATCAGATGAAATAATTTACTTAAGGAAATGGGTGGAACGAATGATTCCTAATCTTGACAGAAATGTCAATGATCAATAAAGTAAATAAACAGATGCACTTGTTTCTTGTTTGGGTTACTGTTCAGTCTCTCAAGTTTATCTGATTTGATTTTATTGTCGTGATAGACAGGGAAAAGAGACCTGGTAAAGGAGAGTGGAGGTATGTCTTTCTTTTTTCTTTTTTTGACATCTTTCCGACAGACTAGCGCGCGAGTGTCAAAAGTAGCCAGTTTTTTTTGGTCCCATCGCCACACATAAATAAATTTTCAGGTTTTAAAGTTTTTCTGCCTCGTCATTTAGCCTAGCTTACTAAAAATGTTCTTTAACTTATTGTTCGTGGTTCAGTACTGCAAAGCTAGATAAATTGATCATGGAATAAAGGTGGTAAGTTTCTAAAGAAACTAAGGTGGTCTTTGACCTATTAAAGAGGCCCCCTAAAAATTGAAACGTTTCCACGAAATACGAGTAAATCTTTCAAGGACCCCTGTCAAAGTATACCATTAGGCGAACTTTGCACAATCGGGTAACGCGTGACCATCTGTGACTATAACCATAAAAAACTTCGCGTGACCGCTGAGGCAAATCGTGACCAAAAGATAACGGGTAATTTAGTGTTACTAAATTGACCCGACGTTTCGAGCGTTAGCCTTCGTCAATCGCTCTGACGAAGGGCTAACGCTCGAAACGTCTGCCTTTAAACTCTCTACGGTGGCCAATTTTCGTTTTCAACTTAGCTGTTTACACCGACGCAGCACACCATTTATTCAAGTGATCAGAAGAGCCATTTTCCGCTGCGGCACCAGACAATGACGTCATGGGGACGTCATGGGAATGTCCCTTAATTTATTTCTGGGGTGAAGCCAAATTGCAAGTACGTTCTCTCTCCGATTTACTGCTCTGATTCGCTGAGTTGTTTCTTCTGTTTGTGATAGAGCAGGTTTGTATTTCTTAACTTTCTTAGATCGGTTTTCTAGTCTAACAGATTTAAATGAAATGCAGTTAATAACCACCGTTCCTCAAAATTTCAAGAGTCTTTCGGGCGTGTATTTGATTTGCGAACCTACTGTTTGATGATAGAAGGAAGTAGTTAAGCTGTGGTTGAAAATGGTCGATGTGAAGTAACTTAGAAAACAAAATAACTTAATCTAGGTTTAAAAAAAACCCTTGTTTGATTTGTAATGAATATGTCCTGAGGCGCGCCATCTGTATGCGTAGCCGTTTAATATCGATTTTTATCATGATCCCGATTTGATATCGGTATCAGTATCTGTGATAGTTTTTGCACAGCTTACACCTTCGCAGCCCTCTCCACGACTCTTAGTTGCCTACTGCTACTGTGTGATTACTTTAAAAGAATGAGGACTGCTATTTGTAGGGTAAAAACCAAATCTGTATTGTAAAAACCAAATCTTAGCTCTTAAAGCTGGTGCTTTACTATCCAAACAAGCCTAGCTTTGCCAAACACTCTCTTAGGTCCTACATCATTCTACTCACATTCGAATTGGCAACCTTACCCCTTCTAAATGGTAAATTATGATGATTACTACATTTAAAGTGATACACTGCCTAAGGAAAACTATCATTGTTCTTTTAAGTCAAAGCTCCATGAAATGATTTACAACATTTTCAATACATTATTCTTCACACCATTTTTTTAGTATCATTTTTCATGACTGCGTCACATGCAAGTGATTAAAGTGGTAGCCTTATCCATCATCAAAAATACCCTACCAATTCTAAAAACTTTGAAGTTGGATTAATTTCCCTTTTCCCCTCTGAGTTTATGCTTCTAGGAAACTCAGTATTGCACTGTGTCACAAAAACCTGTCTGCTGGGATTGACAGTAGATAACAGACTCACTTGGGAACAACACATGTCAAATTTAAAGAAAAGCCTTTGAAACAAATCAGAATAAGTGAAATGTTCCAGCTTCTTGCCTAAGGAAGTCCCACTAAAATTCTATTGTGGCATCACTTGGCCATCTATTGTGTATAGCCCAGGTTTGTGGGGTGTGTGCTGTAACTCCTATAATATATAGATTTAGCCAAGCCTGAAAGTGGAGCTCGCATTTTTTTCGAGCACAACACCTTGCCCTGACCAGGACTAGAACCTGGGTTGTCTGACTCAGAGCCCAATGCACTGACCACTGGACTACTGAACAAAGCCGTGGTGTTGGTGTGCCTGTGGTACAGTTGACCACACATGTTAAAAGTAGCACCTTGTATGGTCGTTTATACAGTCGCATGTCCAAAAATTTTTGCCTTGATAGGTTACTACTATTTTTTATAATTATGGGGCTACACTCTGCAAGCTCTGCTATTATTAGTTCAATTAGTCTTTTGTGACACAGCCTTCTGGTAATTTGTTAATTATAATGATAAATTAGATAATCAAGATTTTAAGATGTATTTTTAAAACTTTGTCTTGAACAGCTCAACTGCCTCCACCTTTCAATACAGAGAATGTAACTATGTGTACTTTTTTAAATTTGAATTAGTATTTTTAATGGTTATCCCCTCCCTCTCCAACCTTTGTCAAGTGAGATGTATTGGTTTGTAAATAAATGAGCCAGTACCTCTTTAACACATGGCTTTCCTCAATTGTATTTGTCAGGAAGACAATGGCCACAGCTGCTGCTCCAGTGTCATTTTCCTCTACTAAAGAGACCACCAATTATGCAAGACTTTGTCGTCTTCTGGTTGATGTGGGATCTTATGTGCTACGGGACACATTTGACAGGATTAATCCCCCAACAGACCTCTACAAACACTTGATGACACATCACACCAAACTTCAGCTACTTCAAAAGAAAAAAGTTTTAAATCCAACACAATGGGGAAAGTTATACCCTGCAATACGCACTGCAGTATCATCAAGAGACTTTGATATAACTCTTCTGACAGTCCTACTGAGGAACATTTGTAGCCTAAGGCCACCAGCCACTGGATGGGATGCACTTCCACCTGCCACAGATATAAGCACAGAGGCTGACATTGCCAGAGTGAAATACTTTAGAAATACAGTGTATGGCCATGCTGAGAAGGCTTCTGTGGATGATGCTACATTCAATGTGTATTGGCAAGATATCAAAGATGCTTTAGTGAGACTTGGAGGACCTGCATATGGAGTGGCAATTGATGATCTTAAAAATGAGTGCATGGACCCTGTATTTGAGGAACACTACAGAGAACTTCTAAAGGAATGGAAAAGAGATGATGATAACACTAAAGACAAACTGGATGAAATTGATCGGAAACTTGAAGAACTGATGAAAGCATCAACAAGCAAAACACAACCAAAAGGTAAATTTGTTAGCAGCAAGGTGATGTGAAGACAGGGAAGGAAAAACAAAATTGATGATAGAGGAATGAGGAGAAAAAACCAGAAGAAACCACAAACAAACTTAGCAAGAAATTAGAAGAATCATCAACCCTGTTTATAATCCTTTTTTCTTTTTTTACTTTTTATTCCTTCCTTTTTCTATCCGTTTTTTGTTCTATGTTTCCTTTTCAGCACCTTCTTTTCCTCCTCCCCCTTTAGTCATTATCTTCTCTTTCCCTTTCTCCTTATCTAAGGTGAAAATTAAAGAGAGGAAAGGAAAAGCAATCATTTACATGCCTTTTTTACTTTTTGAGAAAATTAAACTAAATACATTCAAAGAAGCCTGATTACATTGAAACATTCTCATTTTGTCTTTAATTTCTTTTGGAAGAGATGCACACATCTAAGATTCTGTTTTCATTGATTGAAAAATAATATTGTTCTGAAATCAAAATTAATTCTTTATTTACCTCATAGCAATATTACTTTAGTTTCAGATGTTGAGGAACCAACTGAACTTATACAAAGGATTCGCCAACTTTATTTGACACGTGAAAGGCAACTTTCACCATTTCCTTGGTGTGACCTTGAGCTGAATGATATATTTACCAAGCCAACCATTGTCAGGCATGACAAAACTAGACAAACAGGTGCAGAACAGGTAATCAGCATAACTGGAGTCTTTAAACCACACAGTGGATGCTCCAAGCCCAGAACTGTTCTGATTGAAGGAGAACCTGGAATGGGCAAGACAACCTATTGTCAAAAGGTAGTGTATGACTGGGCCAATGGTCAAGAAACAGATGCTTCTTTCCCAAAAATTAAATTGGTTCTCCTGCTCAAATGCCATGACATGTCAGGCAACATCTGGGAAGCCATTGATGATCAGCTGCTTCCTAAAGATATTGAAGAGGAAGAAAGAGAGAACTTCTTCAAGTACATTCGTGCCAATCAGTCCCAGGTTCTCTTGGTACTTGACGGATTAGATGAAGCACCTTCCAATCTCATGAAGATATTTTCTGACCTTGTTGAGAGCAGAGAGCTATCAAAGTCTCACATCATTCTTACATCCAGGCAAGAGGGTAGTGTTAAGATAAGAAAGTTTTGTGACACCTTGTTTCAAATACAAGGATTTGCTCCAGAGAATTCTCACAATTACATCAAACACTACTTCAAAGACTTGGAGGCACAGGGACAAAACCTTCTGAAGGACATAGAACAAAATATTGAACTTGGAGAACTGATTGTCAATCCCTTATTCACAGCAATGCTGTGTCTTTTTTATGAAGATTTAGAAGGTGGTCTGCCTCTAAGCAAGACTCAGTTGTATCTTGAAATCACAGAATGTATTCTTAAGAGATTTTGCCAAAAGCAAGGGTTGTCTCACAATAACGACAACCTAACTGAAGTTTACAAAGAAGAGCTGGAACAATTGGGAAGAATAGCCTTGGAGACCTTGAAGAAAGATAAAATGTATATTGAAGAAAGTGCATTTAAAGCTACAACTACAAGAAAATCACCTCTATTTGAATTTTTATCAGTTCAATCTAACAGCAGCAAAAGAAGATCCCATACATGCTATCGATTTTCACACAAGAGTTTTCAAGAATTCTTTGCAGGTCTTCATCTTTCTGACCAAATTTTGAAAGGGGAAACAGACTTTGAGAGACTGCTTACAAATGAAAGAGGAAACTTAAAGTCTCTTGAACCAGTCCTTTTGTTCACAG